GCAATTGGTTTCCTATGGATATGATATATGATTCTTATGTTATAAAAGGATGCCTTACTATCCATTTCTTGTCATTCAGCTTTTGCGGCAAAAGGTAGATACCGCTATGAATACAAAATATATTAGCCACATCTGTCCTAAGCCCATTGCTCACATCTGTCCTTAGCCCATTCATTGCATTTGCTTAATATTATCTTTATATTAGACTGTTTTTAATTTTCGGCCCTTAGACATTGACTTTTTGTATTAAATATAAATCAAAAAGAAGAAGAAGTCTTTGCCGGAAGACATTTCAATATAAATAATACATGTCTTACTTAGTCTCTAAAAATTCAGCCTTGAATAGGTTGATGTGAAAAAACGCTGTGACTGGAATTAATTTTTATTATTTTCATTATTTTTTATTGATCGAATACAAAGTAAATTCGCAAGTTCGCTGCCTAAGTCATCACGCAATGGCATAACAATTTGCCATAACCTGAATCAATAAGTAAAAAATGTGCATTTATCTGTCAGACTTGAATGAATGCCGCCATCTATCATCAAATTCAAAATTACATTACCCAGCCAACGCAAACTATTTTAATGTAAATATTTTAAAGGCTCGCGTTGTATGTAAAGGCCACCCCACTCCGCTGGCGGCCTTATAATGAGGTCTTTAACTTGGTTAACGATACTTGGGGCCAGGTCCTGTCAGCTAGTTAAAAATAGTGTTGTGTTGTGGACCGACTGAAGCTCGACTCAAGTCACTTCAGTTTTCAGTTTGTTTTTGTTTTGTTTTTGTTTTCTAGCCCGTTTCTTATAATTTGTACGGGCGCCAAGAGGCTGGGTAAAACAGAAAAAAGAAAATGAAAAGCAAAAACACAAAGCTGCAGCCAGGCAGGCAGGCAGCGAGCGACTTGAAAACTTGTTGCCTGCTTTAATGCATCAATTAAATTTTTTAATTATTTTTGCTTTAACTTTTTGTTCCTGCTCCTGTCAGCGACATGCTGCGCTTTTTGCACAATTGACTGGCCGAGGCATCTTTTCGAGCCGCTTGTACAAGTCGAGTATTTTTGAAAGCCGTCACTTGCCGTCACCGACGGCCGCGGCGTGTGTTTATTGATATGTTTTCATTATTGAATTAGTTTTAATAAAAAGTGAAGTCAATTAAGTTAACAAGTTACTACACCGTTCAGCTCTGTACTGCCTATGGGAACAATTGCAATTATATTTCGAAATTTTCAAAGAACAGACTCGAAAGTGTAAATTAATAGGGAAAATATCAAAATGCGTCTACAGTTTTAAATAATTTCAAGAATAGAAAATGTAACCTCAGTTCCTAATTAGATTTTATACCTATTTGATATAATAGCCGAAGGTTTATTATCGGGCATAAATTAATAAACTTGTAAAACTGTTAAAGCACTTCCTTTGTGCGGGCAAGTTCGTCGCCTAAGTCATTTGTATTAACCGTGAGCTAACAAAACGCCTCGGCCTGAGCCACGCAACGGCGCATTTGACACATCGTCTGTCAAAATAATTGTACAACAATAACAAATGTGCGGTATAATAAAATAAAATTTGTTATTGCTCGTAGCCAGCACAAACATAATGTTGTTTGTTGTAATCAACACCCGCCGCGCGTTGAGTTCAAGAAGCGCAGCCATTAAGTGTGCATGACATTAAATTAGCGCAGCAATCAAGCACTGTGAGTAACAACAAACCAGAAGAGAGGGCGCACAACAAAATAAGCCCTCTAATCAAATTAAGAGGAAGAACAACAGTAGCTATAACTCGGACAGAAGTGAAACTCACATTAGTTACAGCGCATGATTTTTATAATATGTTTGGACGGTCAAAAGTTCTTGAGATTCGGACATGCAGACAAGTCACACATTTTATAACTTATGAAATAATAAATTTTGAACGGTTAAATAATGTTAGGGCATCAAATCTAATAATATAAACAGGACACGCTCCAGTCACAGGCAATAACTCACAAATAAAAGAAAACTGCAGACTTGTTATGCAACATTGTGTGGGCTCTGCCCTATCCTAGCGGTGACTATATTCACTTTATGGTGCAACTTGTGTTATGTGAGTATCTGAAGCCAAAGGAAAAGAGTCTATAGTTTTTATTTATATTTATATTTATTTTTAGTTGCTGCTAGAACCATATTTGTTATTTTCATTTAAGTATTTATATTACTTTAGGCTAGAATATTTATTTGAAAATTCATAAAAACGATTAAAAGGGCAAATTATTAAATTTGTATTACCTTATCAAGAATAGAAAAGTGTTCTTTAAATTTGTTAGTCTTTTGTGAGTGTAAACAAGTTAGTGTTGAATTTTGTATTCCCTGTAAATTGTTGTTGTTGTCAACAGATGTACACGAATGCAGCTCTTGGCATTGAATGTTGGCATCTTGGACTTTTCAATATGACAATTCTTAATATTCTGATGCCGACTGCAAGTGGTTTGTGCAACTTTTTCTGCCGTCCAGTTGGCGACTGTTCCAAAGACGGCAGACACTGTGAGTCCGACTGTCATAAAGCTGCACGTTTTAGCTACAGTTGGAGAATCTCAACAATTTTAAAAGTGTGCATTTATGCCAAGTGGCATCTGCGACGGCGTCGGGCGGCCACGGCCTCGGCCTCAGCCTCAGTTGGAGTTGGAGTTGGAGTTGGAGTTGATGTTGTCGTTCACCGGTTTCCTCCCTGTCGGCAGTGCGTTTATTAATTAGCAGCCAGCCCGATCCCGACACACACACAAACACACGCAAAATCTGTGATTTAACTGACACACAGACTAAGAGGAACGCACACTAGTATATGTATTTTTTTCAATTAAAAATCACAAACAGCGTTTCAATCGTCTCGTCTGTTGTAAACAACCAGGAAAAAGAAATTTTTTAAAAGGCCGGCAACAGGTTCGCCTCATTGGCGACAGTTGTAACTCCTGTTAGCTTGTTTGGATTTATGTCCGGCCAGCGGCGAGGGTGTGGCCGTTGTTGGTCGCTAATTTACCATTGAAATGTTTATTATTAAATGCCAACATTTATTTGTCTGGCATGGAAAAGGAAAACTGTAGAGCTTGGGTTACCAACATAACAGTTAGGGTTAATATTTTGGCCTGCCGCCTGCTCATCCTAAGTCCGCAGCTCCTTCTGTTCAGCTAATACTTCTTATAAAGGCAGCTGCTTCCGTTCATATAGACGCACCCATTCTTGTGATTTAATCCGGCGCAACTAATAAGCCACAAAATGCGGACTTAAATCCTTTTTTTGTTGCTCGCCCTCAGCTGGAAGCTGCTACCTTAATTTAAGGCCAAGATGCTCGGTCGATAAATCAAGACAATAACCAGAATACGCCCCGCGCGCACACATTGCGTGGCCACACCTTGAAAAAATAAGCAAAAGGATTAAATTTTTCTTTACAGCTATAGAGCAAGAAGGGCAACCGAAATCCAAGTGCGTGCATACTCCTTCTTAATTGTTTTCAGGATCAAATCCTTTCCGCTGCCTACACACATGGCCACAAAGAACAGGAGACAAGACAAGCAGCCCAGCGTACTGCTCTAAGGCAATGCCAATAACAATCTCGAAGGTGTGTGCGTCGGCATGCAGCATCTTTTTTTCTCATCCCTTTCCTTTTTCTAAAAAAACGCCGCCTGCTCTAATTCAGCCAACCCCAACCCCTGGACGGGTCGGAATTCACGCGCGCATGCGCTTCAACAATGTCGGGGGACTATCATCATCGTCTTGGCACTTAAGCCCAAAGCCGAAGACGAGGCAGTACCCTCGAGGAGCCGCCTGCGCCAGCCATTCATCTGGCAGCCAGCTCTCAGTCTATTTTCGTAGCAGCTATTTTTCGAAAATTAAAATGTCTACTCCTACTATTTGTCTGCGCGGGTACCTACTCCGGCCTCTTTTTTAATGCAGCCCATAAGCTACAACTATCTATCACATTCTGCCGGCCGCGTTCCTACCTCTGGCGATGATGAATGTGCGCGTTCGGCGTCTCTAATTCAATTTATCTTAGACAAGACAAAGTCACCATTGGCGCATGGCTCTTAATGGATATAATGCTGCTCACTCAGCCCATTGCGTCTACGAAAGCAAACTTTGTATAAAGTGAGCGCCAGCTGTCCTTCAATTGTTTTTTATTCGATTGATGTCCTTGTCAAGGCCTAAAAACCGCGCGCTGATGCGGAAAGTAGAAAGCATCAGCATAACTACCACTATCTAGGTGGAAAATGTTTTTGATTTTTGTTTTACAGATCGCTAAAGGACGTAATTTGAGATTCAAAATTGTTAGGCTACTAGAACAACTAAAAGCCAAGCTTGGACTAGTTTTGTTAAAAATCAAAAAAGTTGCTTATACAAGAACTTAACATAGTGACATAGAACATAGGGTTCTGATACTAATAAGATGTTGCGTATATGTGGGAAGCATAGTGCAACTTATAAATGCAGATGATATAGGGTATCGATCCTGCCAACAAAAAGACGGACCTCATGGAAACAGATAGACGGACATGACAATAATAATTCGGTTGTTGATATAAAAGAAGAAAATGTGTACTTTATGGGATAGGCGTTACACATTTAATATCAGGAAGTTATCGAAAAAGTAAAATTTTCTGGATCTGGGTATACTAAACGAAAATCTGCATACCAAAATAATATCTTAGAAAAGTAAAGGAATTAAAAATCGATATAGAAGGGAAACGGGGGATGTGAATTGAGCATGATTTGCGTATGGTATAAGGAAATCTATATTACACATTTAAATATTTCGTTTCTTGTATTCCTTGAGAAAAAATGGCTGGATCGACTCTGATATTGATGCTCATCAAGCATATTTAATGGGTTCACAGTATAAAAATAAGTTTAAAACATTCATAATATTCATATTCATAATTTTGAGCATCAATAATTTAAAAATGCAATTGTATTTTTTGGACGCTCTGAGGCCATTTTGTGAAGAAAAAAAACTATACTCTTTTGAGAACAAAATATTATAATTATTACTGTAAAGTGATTTATTTTATTAGATTTGTCATGAGTTAACAATTTTCAATATAAGCTGTGGCCAGTAAATGCTATTAACAACAACTGCATCATCACATGAGGGCTTTGCTCCTTTTTTATTAGCTCGCAATGGAATTGTTAAAGTTAATCGAGTGTTCCGGCGCCGCGTTCTCCATGCGTTGTCGGACTAGGCGCACGACTTGTGGCCGGACTGCTTCCTGGGGGTGTGGCATCTGGACTGCGCCCAAGCGGCACAAGCAGCGGCCCCATTGGCCGGCGTGCCCGTGGTGCGCCGCGTGAACCACGACTAACAGGCGTCGCTGTCTTGGAGCGGGGACGTCCTGGTCCGCGCTTGGCCATCGAAGTGCTCGGTGTGCCCATTGTGCTGACGAGACCGCTAAGAGTGGGATTTATTTCTGCAAAAGAAACGTTTTGTGAGTGGACAACAAAGTCTTGCAGTATTCCGATTTGAATAATCTTAGTTAATGTTAATGCGTGTTACAGTTGGACATGCTACGAAGTGCTCTCCACTCAAATACGAATGCAAATTAGCTTGAGGAAGGAATGGCAACATTGTCACTAATGCCACTGGCGCTTGAGCCAGCACGTTCTCTCCGAGTCCTGCCAGATCCGCATTTTTCATTTTGCTTACAATGTTGCATACTTTGGGGCGCATCGATTGTGGTTATTTTAATTGCCGGCACACGGCCGAGCCCAGCCCGGCAACAATGTCCTGCACAGAGCACACTCCATCGTGGTTAAGTCGCATTTATGCAACTGTGCATTTAAATACCCTCACATGTAGCTGTAAGGAGCGTGTGCTATGCTGGCGTATTCATTTAGAAAACAGACATATATACATTTCATGAAATACATTTTCCTGCAATCACTTATTGTTTGTGATGTTAAATAATTTGTTTGTATTTAGAAATACAAAAAAGCTTACAATTATATTATTAAAAATTCATTTAAATCATTTTATAAAAGAAAATCAGAAGATTTGTACGCTCCCAAACTTTATCTTTACTTCAATCTTGGAATCTGCGAATCTTCAATCGGTTGTTATCAGGATTTGGTAGTCAGTATATGGTATCTCATAGTCGATCAATTCACTTTCCTCTGTTGTATTTCCGTTTGCGATTATGTCTCCGTTTGGAGGAAGAGAGTTAATAACTGTTACGTGTTGTCTGGCACTGCCCACAGCATTCGCATTGCCCTTATACCCCTGTACACACACTCGCACACATACACGTATTACACCAGCATCATTTTGGTCTGCGTCTGAGCGTTTAAGCCGATTTATGCAATTAACATTTGTTGTGCAAATTTGGCATGTGCGCCATCGTGTTTCTAACTGAAAACTCGCATTGAAATTGCGAAATTGTTAACAATTTTCTACGAAAATCGACTGCTGTTTGCATTAATTTCAGGCTTTAAATCTGAACAGCTGTTTGCAAAATGCAGCTAATTGCTGTTAATAGCGATGAACATCGTTGTAAATGATCAGGAATCAATATGAGTCTGCACAACAAATCAAACGTGCCCGGGAAAGAAGCTGAAGCATTAAAATTTAGCTAATTGAATTGCTTTCCAAAATATAAGCATTGAATATGGGCGAAAATCTGGGCAGAAGTCTTGAAAAACTGTTTGTGTAGCGTTTTTAAGATTTATATATAAGCTAGCGGGAATACCCCGTTCTTGGCAGTGTCACGTTTAAAATATATTCCCTAAAAGATATTTGAAAATGAGTTTGATACCGATCGAACGGTAAACAACAACTTTCATACGACCGTTTTCCGCCCCTTTACCACTGTTGCGGGTGAAATTTCCCAAATCGCTGAAACACGTGTTTATTAAGTTCTTCTGTAGAGCTTTAAAAATAAGTTTGAAGCAAATCGGACAAAACTTAAAACTTCACCAAATAAATCTTTGAATCGCACTTTTCTTCGAGGACGCTTTGATTTTGCGAAAAATGTGAAACAATTCTCAAATGATTTTTTACATAGATTCTTGGAAATGAATTTGAGCACGAAATGTCACTTACAAAATCTTTGACCACATTTCCACCAAGGAGAAATCCATTTTTCAAAAAGTGTGGAACACTTTTCAAATGAATCCGTCCAAATATTTTTGAAATTGAGTTTGAGGACGATCGGATGGTAAACAACAAATTGTGCGTTGATCACCAATCAGTCAGTCAGTCAGTCAGTTTTATATATAGAGATAGAAGGAAAGCGTAGTTCACACTCTGAATCCATTTGAAAATCGTACAAACAGCTCGATTCATTACGCATACGATAGCAGCTTTACGAAGGTGCTAAACTTGTAAAGATTTACAGTACAAATTCTGAGAAATAAAAAATATGTTAAAAATATTTACATAAATCATTTAAGGAAGCTAGCATTGTATACCGTATAATTTCCGGAACCCCAAACTACTCGAGAGCAACTGCAGGCACTTTGGAAGTACTCGACATGCTGAGTAGTCACAGTATCGATTGCGCCTGGGGCTGTTTCTGTTTGTACATCAGCGATAATGCAGCCAGATGCAAATCTTTGAACAAATATTTGGCCTGACTGCGTGAAGGGGCGAGAACGCAATATTTAAGTAAAAAGGGGAGCAGGAAATGCCATTGAATCTGATAATGATATAATGAAAATGGTTTGTGCTGCGCCAAAATTGTCACGTACTACAAGTGAAATTTCCATCCTCGAAAAATGCGGGCAGCCAAAAGCGAAAAGAGTCGAGAAAAAAGGGGCAGGGACCACAAAGCGCCACTCAAGTGTGCCCAATTGTTAAGAGAGTGGCAGCATACTCACACACACACAGAAACACACAGACACATACATATGTAAGCAGATATGCATGTAAAGAGGCAGCGATAAACGTGATTATGTCGGCGATTAGCGACAAGTGACACTCGAGTCCATATAAACAGGGTAGGGTACCAGGAAGCTGATCAATAAAATGCCGCTGGCTGCACTTACCTTCCTCGTGTGCTGGCAGGGGCAGGCCACTTGCAGTCTCGCCGCCGCCTGTTTCCTGCTGTGGTAACGGCGATGTGGTCGTTGCAGTCGCAGTCGCCATCAACGCTCCAACCGCTGGCGATGTCGGTGTCGGCACGCGCTGCAACGATCCATGGCCACCGCCGCGTCTTGTGCTGCCACGTGGTCGTCCGCGCTTCGTGCCGCGCGGGTGGTGCCGCCGCCGCATCGACATGCTGCCAAAATCGCCCAGGAAGTCTGCAAAAAGAATTATGGGTTTTATTGATTAATTGGGGTAATTTCTTTTCTTTTTTTTTTTGTTGGTTTACTATAATGTCTTTTGCGGTTCCGGTTAAACAGCTGGCACAAAGCAACCACCAGTAAAACACATAAGAAAAAAGGAGAGAAAACAAAACGTATAATTTAATGCCGTCATATTGTTACAATTTAACAGCACATCCTAATTTATGCTCCAAAAATGCATTTCGGCGCCAGTAAATTATCCGCCTTGACTGGAAGTCTCTATTTAGAAAAACAGTTGTTACTGTTATGAGTACTCATTTTTGGATATACAACATTCTAAGACTTTCAAAGTCCGAATTGGTTATATAATGAAATCAATGAATTATGGCAATGATAAACTCGGTTATATCTCATTTTTAATTCCGGATTGGGATTAATTCCTAGGTAGAGACTATTTAACGTTTTCCAAGGAAATCAGAATACTATTGTCTAACTTGATATTTTGGACGGAAAAATGATAATTTCTTTTTTTTTTTGCATGTGGACATTAAGTTTTACGTTTACACAGATATCGATTATTACATAAACAACTGTGTTGTGCCCTAATCAAATTTTTTCTACCATTTAATAAAGTCAGCTTATTCTAAAACAAAACGTTGCTATGCGATAAAAATGATTAATTTCTATTATTTTGATGGGTCAAAACGTACCCGAGGTTAAAGGGTTACAATGGTTTGTGCAAATATATGTTGAGCAGGACGAGAAGCTGTGCCGATCTGGCCATGTGTGACTTTTTATATATCCTTATCTATTTGCATATCGATCATTTTCGATTTTTAGATATGGTGTTTTTACATAACTCGAAACCTATAAAATGTAAATACACCAAACTTAGTATATCTTTTCAGCTATAGTATATGTTCTCTCCCCTAAAATTGGAAGATACTTATTTTTCAACCGTTGTGAAGTCTACTATATTTTTGCCTTGAAATGTGTAATTTTTTTTATCATTATCAAAATTGGACCATATAAAATCTCATAAAGATCAATAATCACCCAAGTAAGCCGCAAATGAATTTCTTATAGCTTGGGACAATGGAAGGAAAAAGCACGGCACAAAAATTGTATATATCTTTTTGTTTAATTTGATCATAGTACAATTGTAGATATATAGTAGACACATGCCCCGTTTAATGAGAATATAACTTTTTTCTTCCGCTCTTTGTGACTTACTTTAAAATTCAATTATCACTCGTGTTGTATGGCTTGACATTTGTTCATCACTTTCTCCTCCCGAATCACCCACTCAGATGTCACCAGAGATATAGTAGCTGCCTACACGTTATGTGTGTCATGCCCATATTTGTATTAGCCTGTTACATTTTTTAGCCAGGGCGCAATCGCGTATCCCAGCCAAAGAGCCAGTCGAAACATTATGGTATCTCACAGGGTTCAAGAACAACAGGACAAGCAATTCGAATGCGAATACGAATGTGAATCTGAATCTAAATGTGAATGTGTGCATATATTATTTGTCTATTCCAGCTAAAAGAGGTTGAGTGTACATCATGTACATAGGTACGTATGGGAGACAATTTTTATTTGTTTGGTTTTCATGTTTTTCGGTATATCTCCCTTTTACTTTGCTTAACTTAAGTTAACTGTAAATTGAATAAATAAAACAAAGTCAACAAAGAATCCAAGAGACGGGCTTTAGTAGGCAACTCTCAGCAGCAACTACTGATGGCAACAATGTGCTTGTTGATTCTGTTGTTGTTACTCCATGTTGTTGTTGCTGTTGCTGTCGCAATGGCGACATTGCCTGGCGCTAGCTATTTTGGTATGCACCACAAGTGCAGCAACATCATCGCATTTCACAATCCCCAATCAACTTCATCATCAGCGCCCAGTCATGATCGACATAGTCTCGTCAGTCGACTGATCATCATAACCATCCACATCATCATCATCATTATCATCGCCATCATCATCATCATGGGATGCAGACAACAACAGTTGGTGCCATCAGTTGCTTGGCCCCTTTGCGGAGTTGTCTACAACTTTGGCAGCCAACTTGGGAAGTTTTTAATAAGAGGCTCTAGAACTCGATGCCAGCCTATCGCTTCGATTGTTGTTACACCTGCGCCAAAAGTCGAGAATGAGTGCCAAATTATTGAATCGCATGCCTGCCTGCCGGGCTGCCTGCCTGTCCGTCTGTCTGCCCTGTGGCACAAGTTTTATCAATAATATTCAATCCAAGGCAATCCTTTACCATACACAAACCCTGAATTGGTTTTATTATTTGGGCAATTCGTTATTTTGATTGCAGTAGCTGTTGCTGCTGCTATAGCCATGTATTTCGGTCAACTGTCGTTTGGCGACGTGGCATTGCGGTGAAAACCCAAAATTGTCTAAAGTTTCGCTTTTTACCATATTTCACTCGCCCAGTTATCAACTTTGTGCGGGGAAATGTTGTGAAAAATGAAAAATGAAGTACTCTGGGCAGTTGGTTGGTTAGTTCAGTTGCACTGGTTCCTCACCCGCACTTTATTGATTATTATTCAGGTCCGAAATATAGAATATTTATACGATAAGAACAGATTTAGGAATGTTTTATTATATATTAGTTATTATATTGTCCCTAAACAATTTTGGGATGAATGGTTGCATATTAGTTCTCCGAGCAAGTTTCTAATAGTTGAGCTCGTTTAAGATATTTTTAATAACAGAAATATTATCAAACAAAATATTTTTTATTAGGGCTATTCCTATGGGAGAAGTTTGATATAGTTGACTTATGCTTAAAATGTGGTCCATGTTTTACAGACAAAGTTGAAAAGCAACTGCTAAGCTTGGTCAAAATATCTTATAAATAACCAAAACCAAAGGGTTTAATAATTTTGTTACGAAATGTTGCGTACGCGCGTTGAAGGAGACTTCTCAGACCCCATCAAGTATATACTATGTGTTGATTAGCATCAATAGCCTAGTCAATATATCCATATCTGTCTGTCTGTTTCTATGCAAAATAGTCGCTTATGCTTAAAGCTTTAACATAAAACTTTTCGTAGGTTCCTTTTTTCTGTTGCAGGCTGCAAATATGTCTGAATCGACTTTGATCGGACTACTATATCATATAGCAATTATCGAAATAGTCGGTAAAAACTTAGATTCTTGTATAATCAACTCATTTTTGGCTTATCTTATATCTTAAGCAATCCCAGCATTTACGAGTTCTAACTTACTCCCTACATATGAGCAAAATTCTATTCAACATCGAATTTCTGTATTATGTAGCTGTATATCAGGAATCAGTTGAAAGACAATATTTTTCTGGAAACTGTTCCGTTTTTGATATTTTCATTTATTTATTTGTTTCTTATAAAGTTAAAGTTTCGTGTGTTTGTTATTAGACATTATGCAATTGTATTTGGCTGTTATGAAAGTTTGTACATAATGCACACTCAGCACGAAAGGGCGGGAAGAAGGCAAGACAAGATATTCGGACTTATGCAGACGCACAGCTATATATACAGACATACACACAAACACACACATATACAATCACTTATTTTTATAAGGTACTCTGTGTGTAAGGAAGAGCGCATATAATCGGATTTTACAAATCATTCATTCAATTATCTAATTGATTTGACTGATGATCATTTGTGAACCTTGATCCTAGCCCGGCCAGCTAAAGTCAATGTGACGCATGTTTGTTACGCTTGATAAACAGCAATTTGGAGCTGGCAGCCAGTCGGCGCAGAAGGTAACGAAGGAGGAAGAGGAGGAGGAGGAGCGAAGGCTATTGAAGCACAATGCCGTTCTCTGCGGCAGCTCACCTTTGACTGTGAGACTCTAATGCGCCTGCCATGACTAAGTGCATCTTGGGCTTGGGCAGATTTGGGCGCTTGGATTACTTATGTGACTTCTACTGTGGCTCCAGCTGTGGCCGTGGCTACTGTTTAAGCCGTTAAGGATATAAATTGCAATTTTTATCAGCGTGAAATTGTTAATTTTTTAGCGACTTTGCTTAGTCAGTTTACTGCAATTGAAGATTGCAAATTGTATTCGTAAATGAAGATAGTTTAAAACGTATAAGTGTTGAGGTTGGATATATACATTTTTTAATACAAGCCTAAAACTACACACAGTGAATTTTTTAGTACCGAAAAAGTGCCATATTGATTCACAAATTCACATATAGAAATACTCGAACTCTGGTCTGGACACGGGCTTCGAGAGGTAGATCAAGCGAATTTGGTGCAAGCGCCAGCCACGTGGTGTAAACTTCTTTCGTTTCGGTGGCGGCACTTCCAGTGGGGCCGGGGTCTTTTTTGGAATGGGACAATGCGGCGGATTTGGTGGCATTATGTGCGGCTTGGCCAAACTAAGGATACGAGCCGTGGGGCGCGCCTTGAGCGCGGACGGCCGCACTGGAAAGCGCAAAGTGGCCCAGAATTCGTCCTCTATATCGTCATTGGGAAAACAACAGGGTACAAAGGGTGGGGGAAATGGTCGACCTTTGTCGTGGTGTGGAGGCTGGCCCCATACAATGACCGGGGAATAGGCGTAGAATGGACGTTCGTACTCGTGCTTTGGAGTCATTTTACGCTCAAGTGGCTTGGACAACTTCTCCATGCTCTCTTCCAAGTCCTCCATATCCATTTTGCGTTTTTCACGGCCACAGGGCAAGTATTTTGCCGGGCAAGGAATAGGCACTTCGACCAGCGGAGGTTCCTTTGGCATTGCTTTTTCCAAAGCCCACGCAAAGAACTTTTTCCACTCCTTTTTTTTCATAGGTCCCGCCTTCTGCCAACGCGTCAGTTCGCGCTCCACTTTCGGTCTGCACCGCCTTATGGGTTGAGCATTGCGTTCGCACCACTCAACCCATGAAGGCGCCGGTTTGTCCTCTTCCTCAATCGTCTTCTTCTCATCCGTTTCGCCATCTTCATTGATGAAGCTCATTTTGACAAATCCGAGTTTTCAATTAAATAATAATGAATGAATAGAAATTAAAACTTTTAACTTCAGATTTAAAAATAAAATTTTTTTTTTCGCCTGTAAGCAGATGTTTTTTTCTAGAGGCTTATAGAAAGAATGAAAGGGTTCAAAGCTAGCCAGCTACACAACGCATGCTTTTAAAAAGTTTAAAACACTGACATTTACCTGGCTCTCGGCCGGCTATATTGGAAGTTTGAAGTTTCTAATGACAACCATTTCGTCATCTACTAGGATTGTTGCTTTAAAGAACATGCATCCACAACTCGTACATGCACAAAAGTTCTACATGCAAACTCTCAACCATTTGGAACTGATATCAATTGTTTCTGGTTATCGCAGCGAGATTTCTTAAGCATGCAGTCCGGCGTATACGAGTTGTCTAAAGTCTAAGTTGATATCTTTTGAATACATCTATTTTTCACTACTAAAAACATCACTTTTAGTTAAGCTTTTGACTGACTCCAGATCAAAGTTGGCAATGAAAAACTCAAACTGTTTTTACAAACAGAAAGGTAAAGGCCAGACAACCAACAATATAATTTGTATATATATTTGGGCCCTTTTTCAATTGGTATCTGTTTTAAGCGTTATGGTCTAGGATAATGTCGAAATATATTGGAGATAAATGAAATAAATTGCAAGCCTAATGAAAATCATACATAAAAATATAAAATAAGTCACCAAATCCAACCAAATGAAAACGAAAAGTTTTCGTCCGACTTTATATTATATGAAAAACTTGTCTGTATGTAAAATTGTAAAATTCTGATCTGTCACACAACCTTAACAGTAGCTAAAAAAGAAAATTGTTTAATCCAGGATTATATTTTCATCCGATAAGGAACACAACATTCGTATACTACTCTTATTGCCATGTAAATTAAAAATTAAAATACTCTCTGTGAAAAAAGTTGTGTGCTTCCAAAAACTATCGGTATCTGAAGATGTGTATAAAAATGTCAGAATATGACCGCAAATCCAAACCAAATATTTGACGATTGGATTTCTGGTGCTCCGGTATCTCTAAACTCAGATTACACATTTGTCTCATATTCGGATTTCTGATATTAATGTAAAGAAAAATAAATGTTTTTTAACCAAACCATTTGTAAAATATATATGGTCTGGATTAGTTTTTGCTGTTCTTTTTAAAACTAATTCGATTAAAGATACGATTCCTGGTTAATAAAACATTTAAATTGTGTGCTCGAGTCAGTTCGGTTCAAAACCGAATCCTTGAGCATTCATACCAGTAGCATTTCTTACAAATTCAGGATCTTATCACGAGATATCCCTTAAATATTTCAAATATTCAATTCAATTCAATTGAGTCTGTAATTATCAACGTTTAATTTTAACAAATGACTGCTAATGTGCCATGATCCAGTGAAGAACGATTTGCTGGAGGAATGAACGTATGCTTATATAGTTCATTCATCCATCAAATTGTAGTACACTGGTTTACTCGTTGGGCGACCACAATATTTACATAAACACCCCACTTGCATTGCAGGACCTATCAAATTGGGAAAGGAGAGATCTAGATCGGCCAGGACACGGGGATTCGGCAGAGAGAGAAACTCTAGGCGCATGAGATGTTCCCTCCATCGCTTTGCAGACATCTTCTTGCGCTTGGGTATCTGCTCATCCGTATTCGGCGGCAATGGACAATGTAGTTTAGGTGGATAGGTACGCGGCTTGGCCAGTTCAGCACATTTTTTCGAAGGCTTGGCTTTTAGTGCATTTCGGGAAATTTTGAAACGCATATTTGACCAGAAATTTATCTTCAGTTCTTCGTGCTGAAAACAGCACGGCACTTTCGGCTTCTCCGTGGGCCGTCCACGCTCTGGTTTCGCTGGTGGCCGATTGGAGAGCTGCGGCCGATACGCATGCTCCCTTTTGGGTGGCGCCGAATACTTCTCCCGTCTGTATTTCGGCTGACTCAGGTTTACGAGATTTTCTTGTATTTCACTTTTTCTATCCCTCTCGGCTTGCAATTCGGATGCAACACAAATAAAAACCAAAGGCGAAATCGGAGTCGATCGATCCGGTATCGGATTTGGCATCGGTGTCGGTGCTGCAGCCGACTTTGGTTCGGGTTGGTGCTGAAGTGGACGAGCATTTACCTTGGCCCATTTGTGAAAATCAATCCACTCTTGTCGATCCATTGGTCCAGGCTTTTGCCAACGCGTCGGTGGTTGGGGCATGTTGGGCACTGAGTATTTAAGTTTGGGCTTTGCATTACGTTCCGCCCACTCCTCCCAACGAGCCCATTTGCTGTCCATTTTACACAACAAATTTAGTGTGTCGTAGTGTGCCGAAAAAACTAATTTTTAATCAAATAAAATCGACAATTTTAAACAAATTTAGAAGGTCTGTACATTCGAACTATGTTTAAACTCGTTTGCATTTTGTTAAAAATACTGAATAAGCCAGTTGAGAAGGATATTAATTTGATGAAACATTTTAGTTACTCAAAGCATTTAACGCACGGATGGCTATATTTCTAAACAGAATGCGGGTAAGCACACAACCAAGTATTAAACAATAAAACCATGTATTCAATGCCAATTCAATTCAATCCACCCCGACGGGTGGAAAATGTTGGAATGCAAGGCAGTATGGAAATAAGTTCATCTTTCAACCTCTGACAACTGATTATTTCGTTTCCTGTAACACCAGCAACTCTACTTATAATCGATACATGCTAATTATATCCTTAATTCTTAAAAGGCCAGTTGTTTTTAGTTTTTGGCGAGTTGCTCTCAAGTACTTCTTTTTACAGCTCCAGAAATTCGAAAAGAACAGCTGCCTCCTCGTATCGAGGGTTGTATCATTAAGCAAATGTAGCGTAAAATTGCTTTTGTTTCCGCCGCCAGGGCCAGTCAATGGCATATGTGGTGTCAATTTCACACATGTTATGAGCACTCTGCGGTCGAGTGCGAGTTACGGCCGCACTCAGATTGATGACTTTGAACTTGGCGAGTTTGTCCTTAGAGGGACAGTTCCGGCAGTGGGCAGGCCAACAGGAAATGCTCAAGGGGTACAAGAAAAAACCTTAGGAATTATTAAAATTCTTCAAGCAACAAGACTGGCTACTACCACGAAAGCAAAAGCAATTCAATCCAAGCCAGGAAAAGCAGACAAAATCGTGGTATGACCAGGTTAGAAACTGGCGACAACAAATCATGACAACGGTAACCAACAAACAGCCAACGACAACAGCAACAAGAACAACAATGACAACGGCGACGGTGGCGACATGAAGGCAACGTTGTTGCATTCTGCTAGCGGCGGCGGCGGCGGCGATGCACATCATCAAATGCAACACGCGGCAGCATGGATGATAATGAAGATGGGCGACAATGCCAACGGGCCAGAAGACGACAAAAACAACAACAACGACAACGACGACGACGACAACAACGACGACGACGACAACGTTAGAAAGGTACTCGCACAATCACAAGGCAAAAAGTGCGATCAATTGCAATGCGCACCGAATTTCAATTGGGCATCGACCGACCAGAGACCAGAAACCGAAGACCGAAGACCAAGAAGCAACGGTCAAAGCTTCAGTAATGGATGGCCATGGCATTCGGGAAATACTTACAGCTGCTATTGATGATAAAACAGCACCAAGTACGAGTACGAGTACGAGTACTACCAGTACCAGTGCCAGACCAGTTCGGGCAGCGATCACTTGACAAGCAGTTGGACAATCGACCACAAAAGGAATTGGGTTATGACCTCGAATGCGTGTCGCCAACATGGATTTGCGATACTCCTCCGATGCAGTGCGTCGTGATTGAGCCGTTTACATTGTGTTTAAATGTGGGCGCATAATATACGGGACTAGGTTCAAACATTTATAAATTCCAGGTGTTTATTTTTACATAAAATGCCATCTATCTATGGCCAACAAATAAAACATGAATAACATTGACCATATTAAACGGGAATCCAATTTATAATATTGCGATGATTCCAAAACTCTTTTGAACAGGTAAATCTTTTCGTAGAAATTGTGCAACTATTTGTTGGAAATGCAGATATACCGAATATCAGTTTTATATCTTCAGAGTGGTGGAACTTAAATGTTCTATAGGTTCGGAGATGACATCTTCAATTTATTATTATATTTTGCCGGACTTTATACTTTACAGGAATTGGCTATACGAAAAAGTATCGCGAATTAAGATCTAAAATTCAATTTATGTTAGATTGACCGCAATTTATGCGGAAGCGTCCAGCTTATTTCGAATATCGGAGACGGATACTTTGAAAACTATGTTCATTCATGAAAATCTCATCTATATTACAATTCATATTAGTCTATGACCCATTATTTCAATAGCAAAAGACTAGAATTAATCTCTCAACAATCTGTGGGGCAGCCCTTTACTTAAGACATTCTGTTTAGACATTTCTTGCCGAACTTTAAAACCTCAACCAATCGACTTTAATTAATGTTTTGCTTAAAACCAATTTTGGAAAATTAACTAATCATTATACAAACGGCATTGCTTCACTTTTTCTGCGGATAGACAAAATTCTCGAATTTAAATTAGATATACTCGCATATTCACAGCACAGCAATTCCAAAAGCAAATTCTTCTGAATTCATAATTCATTTACGCTTGAATGTTATTCATTTACTTTTTTGTGCATGACTTTTTGTTGGAATACTTCAAATATAAATATGATTAACCAATTTAAGTCAAAACCACTTTAATTATAAAGTTTTAAATCAAATAGACAAGTGGCGACTGCGACTGCCAATCTGATCCGTGATCCATCTACACACACTCACTGGTATTCGTGGAAACGAGTCTTTGCGAGTTTGTGCTGGGTGCTGCCCGGGCACGTACTCGCTCTGGGCGCTATGGGGGCCAATAAGGTGTAAATTTATGCGCCAGCGCCAGTTAAGAAAATCAGAAAATCAACAACAATAAAACTACAACAACAATTGTGAACAACCATTAGCAAACGAGCCTATGCAATTTATTGTTAATTCTTATAAAAGCTCAACAAAACGCACATTTTTCGTATTCCTTGTGATTGGCATTTGAGAAGTTTTTTTTTTTGGCTCTAGTCTTTCTATACCCTTGTAAAGTGTGTTATAACTTTGTCATGTAATGTGTAACGCATAGAAGGAGACATCTCCGGATCTGTTAAGTATCTCTGTCTGTCTATCTAGCAAATAAGTCTCTCAACTTTACTTATGTCAGAATCGGCAGGATCGGCCCACTATATCATATATCTGTCGCAGAAAATGAAAGTCTTGCTTGCTCCGAATAAGACCTAGCTTTGTTTTAAGTTTTAAGCTAAGTTTTACATATAAATACATCTTATCAACAAGGAAAAAATATATCTTATCTACCGTAGAAACGATCGGTCAAAATTCTAGTGCTTGTCAATTTTAAACTGACCGAGATTAGTTCTTTTATGAAAAACTATTTTGGTTTTCAAGACATTTAAGCTAAACTCGGTTTACTAGTTTCCACGTATGCGGTATGCCTACAAGGGTATATAATATTCGGTCTGTCGACCATAAACAGTTTTTCTTGTTTTTATTTATTTTTCTTCACATGCAATCGAAGCGCATTTTGTAATTATTTGTTAGCTGTGTGAATTTTTGTGGCCAATCAGCGTTTTTGTTCGCAGTTTTGATTTGCTGCCAAGATTTCAACGTTATTGTATCTCATGGCTAACGTGTATTCTATGAGATACATTTTTTCTTTTCGATATTTCTGCTGATTTTGTAGTTGAAATTGTTGTTGTTGATATTATTGTTGCCGTTGTCATGTTCTTTGGGAGTTTTGCACCTTGTTTACAACTGTTTCTTTAATTATTTATATGTATCACAAGCAGCACTGACAAAGTGGACAAGGATCTATGATAAATCTAATGAATAATGAATACTGGCTGGCTGTGTCACATTTTTCGAATGGGCGGTGCCTCAATAGTATCTGCTGATTCGCTAATTGACTCTTTGGGAAAGTATCTTTCACAATCAAATCGACAGCAGTTGGCACGCGTCCGTTTGAAAATGAAATGTTTTAAATGAAAATCAATTAAAAAATTGTTTCCTCGGCTTTATTACACAATGCCAGCATTAAAATGGAATTGCAATTTGAATGCCTCGCGCGTTACAGCTACTACCAACTACTTGGCAACCTAACTAACTAACCGACCGGATGATTTGTGGACTACCTCCTGTATTGTAAAATTAGCCCACATTTCAAGCGACGTTGCCGGAAAAATGGGAAAAAATTGTTTACAACCTCAGAAACAGCAAATAGCGCAAAAATGCAGCGGAGAAGCGAGAAACATTAAAAAATCCTGCCGCATAAAATTAACTGTGGTTAAATGTGCCATAGACAGAGGAAAACGAAACACTGATAAATCCAATGTTATGTACTGCATCAAGTGCTTGACAATGGAATGCAGTTAAGTAAAACATGCTCGTAAAGCAAATGTTTTAACTTTTAAGTAGTGTCGAGTGCGTGAGGCACGCTTAATTGGATGAACTCGCGGATAGGGTTGAGCAAAAACTGGAGGAAGTGGTATAATTGTATAAATACAATTGGAATGAAAATAATTTAAGAGAATTCCTCATTATAATTTGCTAATTACATTACTAGCAATTAAACAATTTCGATATCTTTAAACTTTTAAGCTTGTTCAGTTATACAAAATAATTTTGAACTCTCTTCAATGTCACGGTATCAAATAATTAACAGTTCATCCAACAATTTATGTACAATTAAATTTTATAAATTGAAAATTTTGATAAAATAAAACAATTATAAAATGTATTAGGTAAATTTTAGTAAATTTGTAAAACTCGTTTCTATTGAATTTTCACGATTTTTGAAATTTTATTCTTCAGATTGGTTGAATTTTCAAAAGCATCGTCTGACCTTGTTTTCACTTACGTTCAAAATAATTGCGAAAAAAACAGCTTTACAGTAAATCTAATCTAGATCACCAAATAGTAAAAGATATTTTAATTTAAAATTGTATTGTTTAAAGTTACGGGAAATACGTTAATGTCGCCTATTATGACAGTTTCTCATTATGGGTCATAATAAACAGTGAAAAAATGTCTAGTAAAAAGTTACGAAATCAAGAAAGAGAGAAAAGAAAACTTGAAACTGCAAATGTAGCTACAATTTATGTAGCCACAACACGTGAAGCCATTGATTAAATTAGATGTTTCCATTTGCCAAGCCCTGCAGAGCCGCAAGCAAAAACCAAAGAAATGGCATATAAAAAATATTTATGAGCACCTCGTTTTTTGTGGCATTTTAATGCATAAGCCAAGCAAACAAGTAACAGCCAAATCAATAGGCCGAAAAACACAAACAGCCAACAACTGTGCGACTGTCTAACTGACTAACTGGCTGGCTGGCTGACTGACAAGCGAGCTCCATTGGGGAACATAATCAACTGGCAGCAACAATTTCCAGGCAACGAGTGATATTAAATTGGGTTGCGTACGTGTATAGCAAATGCTTAACAAAAACGGTGGCCAATACAAATGACAACGTTATCAACGACAGCCAGTAACAAAGGCAAAAACAACAGCCACAAGTAAAAATGTTACAGTTACGCCTACTCGACTAGTAAATACCCAGTACCCAGTGAAGTGTGATCAAATCAAATATTTAAGTGTTATGAGCGATCTTTAAACTTATTTCATAGAGCTTTAGCTGAAGATCATAAGTTGGAACTGGAGCCCAGCATAAGCAGAACACATGCACTTGAATAAAAGAGAAAATTCAAAGAAAATCCAGCCCCGGCAAAAAATATACTACACATTTGTATATGAATAAATGTGTACGTCGAACAGCTTCTTGAAGCTTAAGGCGTTTATTTTTTTGACCAATTGTGTAACTTTTATTGAGGTTGGTTAAGCTTAATTACTTTTAAATAATTGTATAGGCAGTTTGCGATATGGGTGAGATTAGCTGCGATGTCTAAATAATGCTCAATATTTGACGTAGCTAATTTTCGGTCTTTATGCCTTCTTTTCACGGCTTCACCTAAACATAAATAAAAAATTCTTTACTTGCAGGCCCACGAATTAGCTGAACTGTGTATGGTATTTGAAAACGAAAATAATACCCATACCAAATTTGATATGTTTGCATATACATTTAACCAGCTAGTATATTAGACATTTATGCCCACTTTGTTTGAATACAGGGTATGTCAATGATTACGATAGGGAAAATTAGTTGCGTTTGCTCCAGCTATTCCGTGAATCGAATTGGAAACCCATCTGTGAGGCAGTTAGCCAGGCAAATAGTTAGGCGGTCTTGCAAATGGCCAAGCTAGCCGACAGGTTACATTCGGCATACTGCTGCTGCTGTTGTTGTTGTTGCTGTTGCTGTTGTCCAGCAAATTTGGCTTTAACAACGGGTCGAATCAGTTGACGTTGCACTTGTCGCGATTGAACATCAGTTTGTTTCCTTTTTTCTTTTTTTTTTTTGCTACGCCGTGTTGCCTACTTTTCAACGTCTCTTGTACATTCGATTTGTTAATTGTTAAACAAATTTGAAATTAAGCAACATTTTTTCGAATGCAAATCGAATGCATGCGTTTTTTTAGGCTGGCCAGCAAGCTGCAATCACGGATTTATGTTGCACATCCCACATATAATTGGCAACTCATAACATAACAAACAGGCCAAGTTGTTTGGGCCAACTTGTTTAGCTGGTAGACCACATTCTGCGATGCACATGCTGTCTCGCTCTGTGCGCCTTAGCAATCGCTCGTTATTGCCAAATAGTTTGAATTATTAATTATAAAGTGATTGGAATATGTTAAGAATTTGAGCATATGATGTAACATATGCAGACCGCAAATCTACGAAGGCGTCGAACATTGGACGTTGCTGCTCATTAGCAAAAGGTGGGGCAAGTTAACAAGGGGATACTTTAGTACAAGCTGAACTTATTGAAAATGGCCAAAAAGGGTATAATGATTTTGTACAAATGGATGTAACAGGCAGAACGAAGCATTTTCGTACCCATAAAGTAAAATTATAGGGTCATGGTATTCAGCCAGGTCCGTGCATCCGACTATAAAAGCTAAAGAATGAACATTTTGAACGTAGGTCCTCATATGCCCGCGCACATCAATTATATTTCAAATAATCTATACTTGTATGCAATCGATAAAAGTCTATTTCCAAATATTGTTTTGAACGCCAAACACTTTTCGCTTTTCGTTTCTTGAAAAGTGGCTATCCATTCCAGCAAAATCAAATAAATAAACATTTCAATTACAACTACTGCCACATTTTTAAGAATAATAAGATCTGTTTATACAGATAAGCTTTGCATTATCTGCTGTTCAGCTAAATCCAACCTTTAAATAGGTCTTAAAATATAAAAGTATGTTCTGATGTTGTTATCAATTCTATGGTTATTTTTTTCATAAGGTAATCATTATTTTAATGATATGTTTAAATTGTAACTCATGGTACTTACTCATTGATTCTGTTTGGGATATCGCTGTCGGACTATCGCCATCCACTACCAAAGCCTCATTATCGGAATCGTCGTCAAGTTGAAGCTGCTGATGCTGTTGCAGCTGTGGTTGTTTCTGCACACGCATCGCACCGGGCACATAAGTCTCTTGGCTGATTTGGTTATTGCTGTCAGTGCCGGCGCTGGATGAGGAGGAGGCAATGGCTACGTCAATAGAGATCTCGTCCACCTCCTGTTTGATGCGCTTGGCAGTTGAGCTGCATCGGTCTCCATCTTCTTCGTTTGCCGGAATCGTAATGCCGCCCATATTAGCCTCCTAAGACAAATATAATAAAAATGTGTTTAATTCCTGATGTAGCAATAAAAACAATTAGCATTTTTATGAGCAACGGAAATAAGATAACGAATATCGTCTCGTTGTCTATTCGTTTCGGTGCGACCCACCCTAACCAACTGGTCCAAAAAATGTTTCACTTATAATTTATGCCAGTGCCCGATCTTGTTTTTGTTGTTCTTCATGTTGTTCTTTCATTTGTGTAGCATTAAAATAATTCATGCCAAACTGCGACTTGAGTTATTGCCTAGTGCTGTCGGGTTGGTCAGCTCCTGAGTAGGACGCTATAAAATTTTTGGCTTTAGTCAAAATGGGGCCGGGAATGCTTTACCCACTGGGGAGAAGACCAAAATGGCTATGCTTCAGGGCGTAACACGGCACTAGGGTAAATGTAAAAAAATTAGCATAAAATTTGCACAGATTTCGATAGCAATTATCTAGATAGGCAGCACAGTAGCAGCTTTTACTGTGAGCAGTGCTATAGGCGTTTTAAATATACATATAATGTAACTCCTCTGACCCAGCTCTGCCCGGGCAAAGCTTTTGATTGCTTTTCACCACTTGCACTTGTACATATTGATTTATTGCAGCTGAGTTTAATATTAAAGCTTTGAAAACGATTTTCAGCTTGGACATTTACACATTCGGTAACACACAATTCCATGTATTTTTAGTTTTTATTGTTGATCATTAATCGTCATTATAAATGGGCTATAGAGTGCCAAATATTTGGCTTAGGAAGTACAGTAGGCCCTCGCTCATGACAGTCAATACGAAACCTCGATAAAAGCGAAAACCAATTTCTTAGAATTCTAGACAAAGTGGTAGCAAAGTGAAGAAAAAAAATATCGAAATTTCTTTATTATTTATTTTTAATTATTCCACTAAATTTATATTTATCCGATCGACTAGTCGAAATAGTTTTTCTTTATGTCGTTGGCCAATTGAAAATATTACATCAGTTTTTGCATTTACGGGTTTTTGCATTATGCCCAATTTTTAGTGGGTTGGATTAAGCGAGAGCATGCTGTGTACTAAGTTACGATCTTTATTAAAGACTAGAGTGCGTAATTGAAAAAGGTTACAAAAGCTTAAACCAAAAATAAAGCAGTTTAAATAATTTTGACCAATGACAGCTGAAATGCATTTAACAATTTTCTAATTCCCCTTTTCCCCATGGTTTCATAAGCAGGCCATCGACATTTTAAGCCAACCCACTTAAACCAATGGAGCATATAGTAGTACCCCCTAGCCGGGCCGTATTTACGACCAAGAAACCGTTAAAAACTTAATAAATATCTTTGACATGAATGTGCTGCAATCAGTTTCAAACGTATCGCTTGGCTTCGCTCGATGGCCAATGCTAGCTAACCTCAAACTTGAATTAAGTACAAGAATTTGAAACTTGAACTTCCAATTGACAACCAGACTATGTAGATGCACAACAAGAAGAAGCAGTCCACAAGAAGCAGAAAAAAGATGGCTGCGTGCCATTAAAATACTTATATGCCGTCTGTATGTTGTGGTGGTATATGAACTTGAGTGCAGTCCGCCCCCCTCTCAGGCGAAGAAGCACAGAGACCGTAAGTAGGAGAGGCAGAGACCTACGAGTAGAACTAACCAAAATCGGAGAGAAATGAAAAGACAAAGAGGCAACAGACCATAATCAGTGTTCCATTGAACGCACAAAATCATTTAGCGAAACCAAAACGAAAAGAGCCGACCAGCACCCCACAAGCCTACTAAAGACTCCAAGGCACAAGGCACTTGAAACTGTTTTCCAAGACTTGGACAGAAGAGCCAAGTTGGTTAAAGCAAAGTGTTTGCTTTATACATATGTATACGTATTTGTATATGTATATGGATGTAGGGAACACAACACTTGGATGAATGAATATAGGCAGCCGGAGCAGCACCAGATCCACTACGAATATGCCCAAAGCTGGCAGCAAGTTCAAAGCACGCTACGTAACAGACCAAGACAAGTTGAGTCTTGTAGCAAATTGAATTGTCGTTGTTGCTGCTGCTGCTGATGCTGTTGTTGTTGTCGATGTTGATGTTGTTGTTGTTGTTGCTGTTGCATGAATCACGTGACCATGACCACCATGCAGTGCCCAAGTAAGAACAACAAAAGAGCCAGACTCAAAGCTGTCTCACTTACCCCCCGCCTCTGCTGTGGCTGTATATGGCCGAGTCGCAATTTGAACTTCACTTAAAAGATCATTTACTTTCATTGAGACTGCGGAACCTGTCGCCGCGTGTAACAAGTGTAAACTTGGTCTAATAAGTGGCCATTAACAGCCAGTCGGATCATGCGTAAAAGTGCGCAGTGCAGGAACGAGATTTATGCCTCAGATAAAAACTGCTTTTGGCCGGAAGTCTTTAGTTTTACGCATATCGATTTGCATAGCTCTTTCTCTTTTAATTAAACAATTAGTGGCTGTCCCTTTTTGGGCATTTACTCACCTTATTTGGCCTGCGTCGCTTACGTTCACTCGAATTTGCAGCTGGCGTTGATATTCTTGATGTTGCTGTTGTGATGGGTGACGAAGAGGAGGATATCTCTTCTTTTACCTGCTCCTTGACTTCCTGGCGATCTGTTAAACAAACAAAATAGAGTTAATTACATTTTATTACGCATAAGCATAAGTATACGTGGACTTTTTATTTAATTATAATATCAAAGCAATGTGTAAGTATTTAACAAATGTGCCTTAGTCTTTTTCCCGTATTCCTTATTAAAGATATACATATTATTCTTTAATTCTTCCATTAAATCTTTAAATTCAGTCCCTTACATATAAGACTTTGGTACTTGGGTAAAATAAAGCGAATTAAAGGGATTCGATTCAGGATAAGGTAAGTATATACTATATTATTGAATATCCACAGTGGTAAGCCCAACTTTTCGGATGATTCCTTAAAACTTGAACTTGACTTAAAAGTTTTGATAATTAACAGCTTTATATTATACATATATAGAGACTCCTACGACCCTATAATGTATATATATTTTAGATCGGCACCAACAGCCGAGCAGATTAAGCCATAGGCGTCTGTCCATCTGTCTGTTTCAATGCAATCTAGTCCCTCAGTTTTAAAGCTAACCTCTTGAAACTTTGCATAGGTCCGTCTTTCTGTAGGCAGTATTATGTCAGTACTGGCCATATCGGACCAGTATATCATATAGCTGACAAAGAAATGATCGGTCAGAACATAAATAAATAAGCAACTTTTTTGTTTATCAAAATTTCTTTCTTCTCTATTCTTACATATCTGTTAAACCTTAAGGCGTCTACAAGAGTAATAAATCATCGGTGCGACGCAGATTTCCTTACTTTATTGTTTTATTTATAATCTAAGATATCCTTAGTTTACTGTTTCATTAATAATCTATCTATCTATCTACCTTTATAATTTTCTACCTTTGGAGATTTAAATAAGCACCCACATACAACTTACATTTCATTTCAATTTCCTCATCATCCAAGAGCAATGAGACGACTTCTTTGGGCTTGAGTGTGTCGGGCTTGAAATTGCCGCCACTTATAACCATACGTTGTATCTGTAGAAAATATGAATATAAATATATATAAATAATATGCATAAATATGCCGAAAATATTGAAAGAGCAGTGCCGCAGGAAATGAAATGAAACACGTAGAATTGAGTAGCGCCTGGGGCTTCGCATAGACTTACTTAGCTTCCGTTCTGGCGGCCTAAGCACTTTAATATGATAATCAAGAGTTCGGCAATTAAACTAATAAATGCAAAGAACTCAACAAAAAATATGTACCCTGAATGGTTTTTTTTTAAAAGAGAACTGAAAGGCGTAACCAAAATGTCGCCTAACCAATTGTATAATTAATTTCCGGTATCGGTTTACCCGTGCCTTTATAGCTGCCCCAACAATGCGCATCGTGTACAAGTGTTTCATGTGTGCGCCTCGAGTTTCATTTAGCATTTTGAATAAGGCGCAACAATGCGGCATGCAACTCCGATTCAGGCAGGGGAAGTCCGCGCACGTGCCTAATATGTGGCAAAAGAAAGCAGAAACTCCAAGCGACGTGTTTTTGTTCAGTTTGCTGAATAGAGTTTTGCGGTTTCCTGGGCCCGAGTGGGTTTCTTACCTCGCTCTTTTCGCGCGCCCGCTGTAGAATTCGCTCCTCGATGGTGCCCTTACAGATGAGTCGATAGACTGTCACCTGTTTGGTTTGGCCCAGGCGATGCGCTCGATCCATGGCCTGTTGGTCAACGGTGGGATTCCAATCTGAATCGTAGAAGATAACCTACAACGAGATAGGGATGGAACAAAATTAGGCCTCTTAATGTAAATTAAATAAAAATCAAAATAGGTAAGTCTGCACGCTTAGAGTAAACACCGCTTTTTAAATGTAAGATTTTTTTTCAATTTTATTTTCTGCTGGAATTTTTGAAAAAGTAAAATATTTATGTAAGAAAACCTACATACTGCACTATGTATGTCTTTTAATCTCTAATAATCTTTGAGATGTGCCTAAAAAAAACTGGGTGAAATGAATATGCAAATGGGAATCGGACACTCACATCCTTTCGCTGTCCTTTTGATATGTCGCATTTGCCCGCGCTGCATATTAATTGCTGGTACGACTATTCAATAATCCAATTGTCGTGCTACGAATTATATTCCTTTCCTGTTTTCGGCTATTTCGGCTATCTATTATTGAGCAGGGACTACCCTTTTTATTTGGGACGTGTGCAGAGTGCAAGTGTGCAGCACTTCTTCAAGGGTTCTGGATTGCCACATCCGGCAATGATGAAACTAATTATATTGAAATGAATTTAGAACACGTGTAGTGTGCTCTTAAATTTCAGACGTAACCTCTTCTCTTTCCCTTTCCAAAGTCCATTTCCGTTTGATAGAGTCTGGATTTCATTTGAATGAAAGCAAAACAACAGCAGAATTTTAGTGGTGCCATACTTTTAAAGAACACTAGAGCCAGAATCTTATTGATTAGTGATGCACATGTTTTGAACATTTATAAAATTAACGTCTTTTAAAAGCTGGTGGTATGACTATGTCGAACATAGTAAAGATACATTTCCAGGGTTAGTGAAAAAATCATAAGAATTATTAAAAGAGACGCATCCTAAATTGAATTATATATCGAACAGACATTAACTTTAAGTAAATATGCTAAGGATAAATTCAATAGGAGTTATGTAAATAACTAAAAATTAAGAGGCAATAGACGCCTTTATATTGAATTTAAAAAGTAAAATAGATGGTATTTGTTTTGACGAATTGTTTAAATTTTTGACGATGACAAGCCAAACAGAAAAAAAAAATTTGCATGTAGACTACTCAAGACCTTCTGAAAGGATTAACACTAAAATTTTCGCGTCGTACTACCCAAATCTGGCAAGTGCTCTTGCATCCACTAGTGGCTCCATCCCGCCCAAAAAAATTAAATAAATCAATATTTCCTAATCTTCAAGTTGAAGAAAGTCACAAACGCAATAAACACAATACTCAATTCGCTTAAGCAGTAATTGCACTGTGAACAGAGTATTAGACTCCATTTCATTTTTTCGTTCAACTTCTAAATTGGGATTAAATCTAGCAGACCCATATATATAGGAATATATGCATATGTTTATAGTTATGCATTTATGTAATTCATTGTAACTTTAATTTGTTATGGTCTAAGTGTAAATAATCGACATCACCTTTAATATTAAAAACCGTATCATTTGCTAAATGTTTGAAGCACCTTAGACTATTTATAGAGACATGATCTAACTAACAGTTTGACAGTTGTCATTTAGCGGTTGACAGTTGGCGGTAGTCGTTATTCATCAGGGATCAGTTCGATCATTTTGGAGTGCAATGAATCTACAACACTTCATAATTCTGATCATCGCGCAATTGGCCACGGCTTTTAATGACAATTTTACTGAGAAGGAACTATGGATTGAGCAGAAATTGGATCATTTCGATGAGAACGAGACGCGCACATGGCAAATGGCAAGTTAATAATGTGTGAATAACATTTATATTCTATTAGTAAGTTAACATTTAATTTAATTATTTATTTCAGCGTTATTCGGAGAGTGATACTTTTTATAAGCCTGGTGGACCCATCCTTATCAATGTGAATGGGGAATGGCCTTTAGCAGTAAAAAGCGAATTGTGTGGCATGTTCTACGAATTGGCTGAAAAGTTCAATGCCTATGCGTTTCAAACCGAACATCGTTATTACGGCAACAGCCATCCAGTACAGTGAGTATTGCGTAATGTACAAAGAGTATAGTTTTAAATCAGCTGATCCAACAGAAATTTAACCGCTGAGAACCTGCAATATTTGACTATGAAGCAAGCCCTAGCTGATCTGGCCCATTTCGTAAGGCACCAAAAAGCCTCAGTTCCCGGACTAGCCAACTCTAAGGTCATCATGATCGGATGCTCGTATGCAGGAAGCATGGTAGCCTATTTTCGGAAGGATTATCCTGAATTAATTGACGGCGGCTGGTCATCTTGCGCGGGACTCTACTACAGATTGGACTATTCTGGTATGGTTTATACAGTCGCACAGTTGCTTTGAGACTGAAGCCTTTCTTTTATAATCAGATGCTTACATAAGTGTTGGTAAATCAATTCGCAAGATCGGTGGAGATGCATGTTACGATCAAGTTGACCATTTTAGCAAAGCTTACCTCAAACATAAGAAAGCCAACGATGAAAATTATACATTGCTTCAGCAACTCAACTTAACTGTCGAATATAACAACATGGATGAGATAATAGCAACTCATGTGCAGCATCGCAAGTGAGACTTATTAAATAATTTATTTATCCGAAAGTCCGTATATTAATATTTACACTTCTTTCAGCATATCCATGTTCCAAAGAATATGCATAAATATAACTGCGGTTGATAGCAATGACATTGTCGAATTCGGTTTAGTGCTAAAGCATCTCAGCTCAAAAATACCAGAAGTGGGTAACAAGGATGAAATTGAATTTTCAGAGGATCATTCAAGTAAATATGCTTTCTTCTATGTCTAATGAATGGATTTAGTTAGATACTCATTTCAGCCCGTCAGTATTTTTATCAATCTTGCAATGAGTTCGGTAACTTCCAAACCACAAGCTCACAACATCAGCCTTTCGGTGACAGAAAGCCGTTTTCCACCTTAATTGCACAGTGTAAAGAGGATTTTGGTCCTAAATTTACCATTGAATATATAAGTAAAAAAGTTGATGAAATCAACGCACTATATGGAGGTTCTAGGCCCAATGTTGATCACATTTATTTCACAAAAGCCGAAGATGATCCCTGGAGATGGACTGGTATAGTTGACGAATGCGCCACTGTGATACCAGGTACGAATTGACTGAAATATTTAAATCCATTTTATAAACTCTACGTGAATTCTACGCAGGAATTGCTCACTGCCATGATTTGCGAACTCGCAGTCCAAATGATCCTCCCGCTCTTGCAGCTGCTAAGCAAAAAGGCTTCGATCTAATTGAGAGCTGGATAAATGGCGGGGGCAACACTCGGGAAACACTTACAAAATGTTAATTTTTATTTTTTTCAATAGACCAAATTTGTAAAAAATAAACGTGAGATATTAAACAAATGCAAAACATAGGTTCCTTCAAAAAAGAGGATTTAAAAAATAAAAAATAGAAAGTCAAATATGCGTGTTAATGCTGGAAAGAATATCAAAATACTATTTCTTATAATACAAAATTATGAATTCAATTGCCGATTCTTTCCTATGAAAAACTAGATGCTGAATCTGAAGGTTAGAATAACTTTCCTTATTTAAGCTGTATATTAGGTAACCCACGCATGAATTAAAAACTAGAGCAGTATATTTATATACAACTCATTGTTCAGCTAAGTCAAGAACAGGATTCATTGTTTAAATCCTGGGCGAAGGTTGAGGTGTTATATTGTCTTGTCCTTTGGGCATAAAAGGCGGCAAATGGCCTGCATTTGTTTCCAAATTAGTCCGAGGATTTCATTTAAAACGGGTTCGTGTAAACTTTTCTCTCGTTTTACCAATTGCCTATCGATTGCGATCAAGCGTATATGATCAACTTAAAATCGATGTAAAATATATAATAGGGCTCATTCTTGATAACCATTATCAGCTTGTCGAAATGACTGAGAATACTTTGAGTGAATCGTACAAATAAAATTCGCTCGATTTCACTTGCTTTGAAAATGGCTCGACTTATAGAACTGATAAAGCACTGCATGGCACTGGGCTCTACAAAGTTTTAGGCCAAACAGTTGAAACGAATGTGTTAGTATTATTTACAACTTTTAGTGCGATTTGTTTTACCTAGATTAATACCCTAAAAAGTGTGTGATAAGATTTGCCGTTGAGCTCAGCAACACGTATTAGTGGTGCTCGAATGGTGCCTTAGCCACAGTAGAATTCCAACCCACAACGATGACACACCACCTGGTCGGAGTAACTCTTGTGCTGCTAGCATTGGGCCTGGTACAGGCTAATAGGAATATCTTCCAGCGGACATTCAACCAACTGCACGGGGAGCCGCCAGTGCCGGCAAACCAGAACCGAGCAGATGAGGTGCAAACATTGTGGATCGAGCAGAAGTTGGACCACTTCAATGAGTCCGAGACACGCACCTGGCAAATGGTATGCGTCATTTGTTATATAATCGGTGCCAACCAACCTATATCTATTTTTTTATATACTTGTATCTTCAGCGATATATGTTGAACGATGTATTCTTTAAAGCCGGTGGACCCTTGTTCATATTCTTGGGTGGAGAATGGGAGATAAGCACAGGTCGCATCACAGCTGGACACATGTATGATATGGCCAAGGAGCACAATGGACTGCTGGCCTATACTGAACATCGATACTATGGCGAAAGCCATCCTCTGCCGTTAGTGATAAATTAAAGGAGTTTAAAAATCGTTTTTAATCAATCTCAATGTTTTTCAGCGACTTGTCCAATGAGAACATACAATATTTGCATGTAAAACAGGCCTTGGCCGATCTGGCACACTTTATAACCACCCAAAAGGCTACCTATGAGGGCTTGAGTGATTCCAAAGTCATAATTGTCGGTGGCTCCTACTCGGCAACGATGGTCACTTGGTTCAAGAAAACCTACCCCGATTTGGTCGTAGGTGGCTGGGCTTCTAGTGCTCCACTCTTTGCCAAAATGAACTTTGTGGGTACGTTTTACTCTTCCTCAGCTTAATGATAGCTTACTGAAAATCTCCTTTCACATTATTTGCTTAGAATACAAGGAGATTACAGGAGAATCCATAGCCCTAATGGGCGGTTCTGCCTGTTACAAGCGTATTGAGAACGGCATTGCCGAGATGGAAGCGATGATTGCCAGCAAACGCGGCGCTGAGGTCAAGGCTCTGCTGAAGCTTTGCGAACGTTTTGATGTGTACAGCGATCTGGATACATGGACTCTTTTTAGTGAGATCTCCGACATATTTGCTGGCCTCGTACAGACGCATAAGTGAGCATGGCTCGTAACAGGAGCAAAAGTCTTTATTTTATTGTCATTTATGCCACAGTGCGGGAAACATTGAGGCCGTGTGCCAGAAGATCATGGCTGAAAGTTCCGATCTTGTTGGAGTAAGCAGTTACATTCTCAGCGAATTCGAAGAGAGTGGTGGCAACTGCCACGACCTTAGCTATGATGCCATCATTGGCGTACTTTCGGAGTCAAGGTACACCGGAAATATAAGTATGCTTTTTAATGCGGCACTGTTAAAAATATATTTCCTTACAAATAAATTATCATCTTGCAGTGCGTCAATGGATATTTCAGACATGCAACGAGTACGGCTGGTATCAGACCTCAGGATCCAGCGCTCAACCATTCGGTACCAAGTTTCCCGTAGCACTTTACACGACCATGTGCGCCGATCTCTATGGCGCCCAGTTTACTAATTCCTTTATCGAGAGCCGTGTGGCCGAAACAAATGAATACTTTGGTGGCCTGACCCCAAATGTACAGAATGTCTACCTAACCCATGGCCAATTGGATCCCTGGCGTGCAATGGGCATACAGGACGAGGAGCAAGCAACCATTATACCAGGTGGACTAATAAGTTTACGCATTGAAAACATTATATTTGATAAATAATTTAATTCGCAGAACATGCTCACTGCAAAGACTTCGGTTCGATCACTGCCGATGACACTGCTGAAATGCGTGCCTCAAAAGAACGCATTGCTGAACTGGTTCGCGAATGGCTGAAGTAAATATTTGATTCATTTAAGTTTTCTTTCGAAAAAAAAATAAAATCTAATAGTTGGTTCGTTCTTCATTCGGGACCAAATACAACTGTGCAGTTTTTTAAAAATTGACTAACTAATAAATCAAGCCCATAAATAATATTGAGCAAGCGCTTTCTCGGCTGATACATTTGTCTTCGTGAATTTCATTAAAATCAAGAAAGAGTGCTCTAGTTAAGAGGAGATACCCTGAATCCAGCATCATGCCATCATCTCATGATTAACTTCGGAGTTTATTCTCCGATCTTTATTTAATTTTTAGCACATCAACATTGAAAAACATACCTCATAATATGTTGGAGAAACGTGGGAAGGTATCCCAGAACTGAAAAGTTATTCAGCTCCGTTTTCTATATGAGAGTCTACTTGACAAATTTGGTGTTCTAATAAGCTGCGAGATATGCTGAATGCTAAAATTAAATAAACTACCTAGGGTTTCTCGAATGCAATCAACTGAATATAATCTAAATACAAATTAATAACAGTGTATAACACATTGTTAAGCTTATCAATATCAATTATAACATTGCTTTTAGCCGCACATACTTCGACTAAACCGCATGAGCAACAATCGCTCGACTTCAATTGCTTTGGAAATGAATTGAATTGTATAGCTGATAAAGCACCGCAAGGTATTCGACCAACGATTTAAAAATAGTGTATTGACATTGTTTACTTTTTTTGCGATTCAATCTTGACGTAGATATTATTTGTGATCAAATATGCTGTTGAGCTTAGCAACATGTATTAGTAGTGCTTCAATGGATCCCTATCCACAGTAGAACTCTAATCTGCAATGACCATTATGCCAGGTGCGTCCACCTATATATATTAAAAACTCCGCCTAACTGACTGATTGAATTATTAAATCAAATCCTGAACAAAAGAAAGTTTATTACCTAATGGTGATCTTTTATGACCTGTATCAAATTTTTTATGTTTCACAGAATATGCGCATTGCAGATTTTGGTTCGATTAGTGACAAAGACACTGCCCAAATGCTTGCTTCAAAGGAGCGTATAGGTTCTACTGGTTCGCGAGTGGCTAAAGTAAAATTCTTAAAGCGATAACCACAATCTAAAAGTTTCTACTATAAATATAGCTAGTAATTGTAATAAACCAGCATGCGAAATAGTTCCAATATTAATTAAACAACTGTTGGTCAATCAAATTAACCAAATGGGATTACCAGATCGTAGCATAGATTTTGCTGAGGTCAGTTATACGCATAATTGGGCTGGCAACTAATTAAATACATGTAAATAGAGCGGAATACATAAAGCAATCAATGGACATCATAAATCGTCATATGGGTTAGATTGCTGAAAATCCCGTCTTATCACAAGATTCTATTGAAAGTCCACTACAAACGCTTATCAACTTTAGTTTTATGGCCTTTTATCTTGATCGCAAATTATTGAAAACTGAATTGCACTTTGATTACATAAAAGCTGAACGTTGGTCATTTGGGAATTTCATTTACAAACATGCTGCTGCTTCAGTTGGTTAGCCTTGCGCTAGTGGCTTTGGCTAGCCAGGCACATAGCCTGAAATTGAAGAAAGATGTGCCCGTTTTTGTAAAAACTCTAAAAGAGCTGCATCGTGGTCCGCCCCAGCGGACAGTGGCACGTGCAGACACCGCGGAGGAAAAATGGATTACACAACCACTTGATCACTTCGATGAAAGCAATACGAAGACATACGAAATGGTATGAGTACTGGCAGAAAATCTGAAACACATAACTCAAAGATTTGTCCTTTTCTCTTAGCGATACTTCATTAACGATGAATTCCAAACCGACGGCAGCCCCATATTCATATTTCTGGGTGGAGAATGGGAGGCCAGCCCAGGGATGATACAACAGGGTCATTGGTACGACATGGCCAAGGAGCACAACGGCGTGCTGATCTACACTGAGCATCGTTATTATGGACAGAGTGTGCCCACAGAGTAGGTGTTTATTCAATATCGGATTATCTCCTAACAAATCAAATCAACTGCCAACAGGACAATGTCTTTGGACAACCTACAGTATTTGCATGTCAAGCAGGCGCTCGCGGATGTCGCCCATTTTATTGAAACTTTTAAATCGGAGAATGCACAGCTTACCAACTCGAAGGTGTTGCTAGCCGGCGGCTCCTACTCGGCCACAATGGTCGTTTGGTTCAAGCGCCTCTATCCCGACTTGGTTGTGGGTGGCTGGGCTTCTAGCGCACCGCTGCTTGCCAAGGTTGATTTCTTTGAATACAAAGAGGTGGCGGGCAGAGCGTTCCTTGAGCTGGGTGGTCAGAAGTGCTACGATCGCATTCAGAATGGTATTGCCGACCTGGAGTACATGTTTGAAAACAAACGCGCAGCTGAAGCACGTGCCATGTTGCGTGTATGCAGCAGTTTTGATCATGAAAGCGATTTAGATATGTGGAACTTATTCGGCAGCATTTCCAATATCTTTGCAGGTGTAGCTCAGTCACAAAGGTAAGTCAGCCATTTGAACAAAAGCATTCAGGACTTAAATTCAATTTAATGTAGCGCGGGCGATATCGAGTATTATTGTGACTTTCTGCTGAGCTTTAACGATGATGCCACAGCCATAGCGAACTTTGCCTATTGGGCCTGGAATTATCCAACCTGCATCGATGCGCGCTATCAAGAAACAGTCGAGTATTATCTGTGGGGCATTGAGAACTTTGACGACTGTAAGTTATAATGCTTCTACTCGTGTTATTTTAATTGATTGGAATTCTTTGTTTTTGATAGCTCGACCCTGGTTTTATCAGACCTGTAACGAGTACGGCTGGTATCAGTCATCGCGATCAAATAATCAGCCTTTTGGCAACAAGTTCCCTGCCACGTTCTACATTGAAATGTGTAAAGATGTCTTCAGCTCCAAGTTCGGAAACGAACAGGTCGAAAGCAATGCCGCACAAACCAATGAGGACTTTGGCGGCCTGGAACCGAACGTTGAGAACGTCTATATGACACACGGAGAACTGGATCCTTGGAGTGCCATGGGTCATGGTGTTGCAGAGGGTGCCACGGTTATTTCAAAAGCCTCCCACTGTACGGACTTTGATTCAATCAGCTCCAGCGACAGCGCAGAAATGCGGGCTTCCAAGGAACGTATTGCTGAACTAGTTCGCGAATGGTTGGCCTAACTTTAAATATCATTCTTCTAACATTGCTACCTCTATCGTGGCACAGAAATAAAATTTTATGCCCACACGTTTATATACATAGAAATTGACATATGTGTATATTTTTATCAACGATTACAACCGGATCGATCTAGTTATATTCCCTTATTATCTAAATGTTGCAAATTGATTAGGTTGAACTACAAGTAAACTTTGTAGATATATGGCTCTAACTAATCTATTAATCCTACAAATTACTCAAAACAGTTGCCCAATTAAACGAGGTTGTAAAAGTAATTAAAATGTTCTAAATGGAAGAAGGCGAAGTTAGAGGGAAAATGTAATATCACAAATATCACAAAACCGAATGTTCTGAATTTCCACTAGAGTACTGCATACTTTCAGGAGCACTTGAAATTTTAATTTCACCTTGTCGATGCCCGTGTTGAGGGTTCTTAAAATATGTTATAAAATGTGTAATGTGTAATGTTTGCCCATATATGTTCTTAATAAAGAATGCGGGACTAGAAACTGGATTTTACAAATTGTTATACATTGATTTTCAAAATATCCTGGCAAAACTCATTAGTTACGATATATGAAAAAACAACTCATCAATATCAGATTTATACCTAAGCATATGAATAAAAATAATCTTTATTGAATGGTGATCAATGCAAACCCGCAAACTAAAAGATTTGGAATGCTAAAGCGTTAGTCTAGTTATCTTATGCAATGTAAGGCTTTGGAACAGTGTAAAACAGGTGAAAATGGTTTCATGAAAATCATTCCAAACTTTCTTTAAGAAAACTCGCTAAAGACAAACCATCTACCCTTGGTAGAAAATGCGGGTTAAAGCTTGTATGGGCATTGGTGTAATTTAAGTTATATTACCTCAAATATTAACTTAAAATTTGTTTTTACACCCTGGTAGATGATATTATAATTTGGCATGATAAAGTTAATGCACAGAAGGACACATTACATTACACATTACTATAGGAATGATCGGTCGGGGTCGGGAATTAAATTAAAATTAATTTGTATGGACAACTTTTTCTTTGCAACTTTCCTATCATGCAAAGTGGCTACTTGAATGTCTCCGGTGTTAACGGTCAGAGCTTTATCGCGGCTTAGATATTGTATTTAAAAGGGTGTATATACCTATTGCAAGGGTATTGTTAATTAATGTTTGGGGGTACCAGGGGGGGGGGGGGGGGGTATACAAAAATGTAAGTGACAAATATTATTTCGCAGTAACAAAAACAAATATTAACATTTTTACAATTATAAGTCGGTACTGATTTTAAATGGCAATCGATTACGAAAGTGTCGTAAGCCATCTATATAAAAATGCAACTGATACAGCTTATAAAGTCTATAAGAACTTGGGAAATATTAGACAACGTGACACAGAAACTACTTGAACTTATCAGTGTTATTAAATTGAAGCTTAAGACCAAATTATTTGTAAATATTGACTTTTAATTAACAGTTATCAACAAAAGCACGGAAACAGACCAATTTTTTGAATAAATAGTCGGCGTATTGAGGTAGGAAACTATTCGCAAAACAGCGAACTATCCATCATGCTGAAGTACATCAAAATAGTTCTGTCAGTGCTCATACCTCTTGCTTTTGCAGCAAGTCTCGGAGACTCCGTGGGTTCGGCTGACGTAGAAATACCAGCATTTGTACAAACACTCAGGGAGCTTTACCGTGGACCACCACCAGGGCAGGTCGGCACCAAGCGATCAAATGTGGAGACGCGCTGGATTCTCCAAAAATTGGACAACTTTAACGACTCAAATGAGGAAGTGTGGTACGATGTAAGTACTTTTTATAATCTCCTGAAAGACAATGGTCCTTAAGAACCTTTTTTTTAGCGTGTACTGATTAACGAGGACTACTTCGTAGATGGTTCTCCAATCTTCATATACCTAGGCGGAGAATGGCAGATTGAACCTAGCGCCATAACATCAGGTCTATGGGTGGACATCGCACGCGAGCACAATGGATCTCTGGTCTACACTGAACATCGATTTTTCGGAGAAAGCATTCCCATTAAGTAAATTTCTCGACTCTCAATCTTAATACCTCAGCGACCCATATTAACTTAGTTCTTTCAACCCACAGACCCTTGTCAACTGCCAACCTCAAATATCAAAGTGTGGAACAAGCTTTGGCCGATGTGGTTAATGTTATCAACGTTCTTAAAACGGAGGACAAGTACAAGGACTCGAAAGTAGTTATATCTGGTTGTTCTTACTCTGCAACTATGGCCGTTTGGCTTAAGCTATTGTACCCCGACGTAATCGTTGGCAGTTGGGCGTCCAGTGCTCCATTAGAGGCCAAAGTAGACTTTAAAGGTGAATTTAACAGCCCCAAATTTGCCTGTTACTAGCTACGTTAGGTATGTAACAATTCCGCTGCCTCTTCTGTTCCAGATTACATGCAAGTTGTTGGCCAAGCATACAGGGAATTGGGAGGAGACTATTGCTACAACATTATCGACAATGCCACGTCCCAATATGAGAAATTGTTTGCGAGCGGCAATGGCACTGAGGCCAAGAAGATTTTAAACCTTTGTGACGACTTTGACGAGAACGACGAGCAGGATCAGTGGCAAATATTTAGCACGATTGCAAATGTTTTTGCTGGCATTGCCCAGTACCAAAAGTAACTATAAAACATCCAAAATATTTGCCAGCTATATGATCTTCTTTCTACGCAGACCCGAAAACTACGACTTGGCCCAATATTGCTCCGTTCTTCGGAGCTTTGATCCCGACGATGCTGTAGCAGTATCTAAATTCGTACAGTGGCGTCTCAATTACCCAACATGCGTTAATACCCGGTATAAGGGAACTGTTGCCTATTACAAATGGTCAATGGACAACTACGATGGTTGTGAGTAGAGATAATTATGACAAATTAACCAAGAACCTGAAAAGTAAATCATTTCTTCTCTTAGCTGGTCTTGCCTGGTTCTATCAAACATGCAGAGAATTCGGCTGGTTTCAGTCCTCTGGGAGCACAACTCAACCATTCGGCTCTTCTTTCCCGGCCACTCTGTACACCGATACCTGTCGCGATGTTTTTGGCTCAGGTTACTCGTCAGCGAGAATCGAGAGGTATATCAGGGCCACAAACAAGAAGTATGGCGGTGTGGATCCGGCTGTCGAGAACGTTTACATGACTCAGGGTGGACTGGATCCATGGAGCAAAGTTGGCGCTGGCCTGGCACAAAACGCCACCATTATTCCCCAAGCCTCACACTGCTCCGATTCGGGCTCAATCAGTGCCACGGACAGTCCTGGACTTCGCGCCGCCAAGGAGCGATTGGTTAAACTAGTTCGCGAGTGGCTTGCCTAACTCTATATATTTTTAATTTTACCTTATATTAATTGTTATATACATATATATATATTTTTTATTTGTTTAAGAGATGAATTTATAATTAATAAAACCAATATTTACTCAAAGTTTAATAATAAGCAATCTGTTAGATCTTATATGTTTGGGCCCACAAGTCCTACTAACAAATAATTAAAACGAAACAGATAATTTAAACATCTCCAATAAACACATAACAAATTCATCAAAATTCATGGAAACCCTCCACGCATGCAACATTTAGTATGGACCACAACTAATTTATAAAGACATGCAAAATGCCATTTGAGACGCGATTTAATCGTGCCGATTAAAAACTAAGCTTAGAATTTGATGCAATTGTCTACAACATTTTGAGTGCTATCAACTAAGGCATTCACAGAAATTTCTCCAAGAATTTTAAAGAAATTTGTTGCTTTCAAAAACCATTTAATTAAAGAGTAATTCGACTAAAACTTTTTCCGGCAAATAAATCCATCAAAATATTGGTTAAAGGGTGTGACCAGCTGGACAGTCCATCACGTTTACTTCCCGTCCGATGTACAGAAAAAGTCCGAATATATGGCATGCGAGACAGCGTTAAAAAGCCAAAAATGTATACACCCAATGAATTGCACTAAATTTAGGTACGTGTGCAGCATACCAAATACGATGGTCTATCAAAAGATGGCAACAGACTGCGGCTATTGAAAGACATTGCTACGATTTCGAAAATGTCATAAATCTTGATGGCAGCCAAAAGCAAGACGCGCATGATAATGATTCTTAAGAATGAACATTGCGCTACAAACAAATTGAATTTGTTTATAAATGGCATACAAACACAATTAATGAGCTGATTTCATATCATTTAAAATGTAACTGGTTCAATTTTCTGGGCCCTCAACGATTTCCGTTAGCGTACAGTACAATGCCAAAGTGTTGAGTGGCTTTTTGGTCAAATTATATTGGTATGCGCCAACGACACGAACAGCGAATACTTTTGGGCTTGAACTTGCATTTCTCACACATTACGTTGGCCTTTCAGTAATTTAATTGAAAACAACACAAACGATTTTCACTTTATTGTTCTGTGTGGCTTCGCTTGGTTTTCATGTGCTATTTGCTGCTTAGTCAATAAATGATACTATTTCTATATTTTAAACTAAATTTAATAAGAACCTCATCCGTCTTTGTTTTTTAACTTATCCGATTCATGGTAAATAAAAATATATGTAATATATTTAACACGGAGTTCCAGGCTTAAACCGGTTCGCTTTAAATTCAAATTCACCAATCTAAATAATTGCGATCAGGTTCCCTAACGACACAGTTCTCATCACAATCTCAAGGAATCTCGACAAGGAGATACCCTGTACTTAGAGTCCGTCAAGTAAAATATATTCAATACCAAAACAGAAATTCTAATTTGTTGTCGATATGTTTGATATAGGTACATAAGAAAAAAAGCAGAAAAATGAATTCTAGTTTTTGGAAAACTGGGTCAGTTGCCTAAAATCTTTAATATTTTTTAGACATAACGGTTCAGCTTCTCAGTCTGTTCAAAAATATATACAGTGAAGTCTTTTGGATGGAACGCGACGGTCAGGTAGCTTTTGTCTATTTAAATGTCCGCCCAAAAAAAGGGTGTTCCCCTAATGACCTAATAATCCGTTGGGAGAGTTCACTGAATATATACTAAATTCGGTCGCGAATGTAATACATATTTGAACAAGTTTGTCATGCCTTTTAAACGAGTTCGAAAGGATGCAGGGTAATACAAAAGATTATTCGCCGCTTGCGATGAGCCACTCAAAGAGCCGATGAAAAGACCATGCCATGCCGAAATGCCAGGGAATTAGTCAACAACGACTTGGGCGAACAATTTCGAGCCTGAGAACCAAACAATAAAATGGACGAAAAGACAAATACCGAATTACTTGGCGGCCAGCGCAAATAACAAATCAAAATCAGTGACAAAATGATTTAGGAACCAGGCGAAAAAGTTCACACGAAGCCCAGCAGCCAAAGTCACAGACAGAAATCACAGCAAATCGAAGCGACACACATACACACACACATGGTAAGTATTGCATCCTTTTGGCTGAGAATTTGTGGTGGCTGCCTTGGCAGTGTCATTGTTGCGATAAAGATCACAATGTGTAAATCATGGCGAAAAGTGCTCGGGCGATGCCGACGACCGCGCATTGCATAAACAAGTAGTCGAGCAAATGGATACAAGAAACAAGCCCCGGCAAAAAGAAGCTGCCCCTTTATTCATCGCCCACACATAAATTTGCCAGCTGCCAATTCAGCCGGTGTACATGGAGTGTACCACGGAGTTCTGCACATTGTCATAGATCTTCACAATATCCGCGTCTGCCTGCAGCGCCTTGAGGAACTGCGAATAGCGCCGCATTTGCGCCGCAGTCAACTTCTCCAGCGGCTCAGTGAAATAGTATCCAATTTCTGTAAGCAGTGGCTTGTAGCCGCACAGCCTGAGCTTTGCAGACACCTCTGGTATACCCTCCGGTTGGCACCGAAAGCATAGGGCGCCCATTTCAATGCTGACAATCTTGCAGCCTTCAGCCTGGCAAGAGAGCGCATCGCGATGCAGCTGCTCCTCCAAGCTAGCAAAGTCTATTGCAGTCTTGCAGGGCATAAGCACATGGATGAGGCCCATTTGCTTAAAGAGACCCGGCTCACTGTGCACAGGGCGAAAGCGTGATTTATATTTCAGCAGCACCTTGGACAATCGCTGCTTTAGTGCAACCAGATTGGCCGTGCTCACCTGACAAACCAGTGCCGCCTCTTGTTCTTTGTAGTTTACATGCAGAACACAATTCTCTCTCTTGCCAGAAGGCTCATCAGATGTGTTCAGCTCGAGCTCCTTGTATAGCTTCCTAAGTCGCGTCTTATTGTTTTTGATGATCGTCAGCAACTTTTCATCATTGTTTTTAGTTTTCGCAATGATTGTTTTTGTTGAGTCGACCTCGCGATCCAGCCCATTATGCTTCCCTGAGTCATTTATTTCTGTTGACTTTTGGGCCAACATTGGAGTCCTTTTCGATTTAAATGGCACCAAATTAGCTTCAAGGCGGGCTAATTTAAGTGAGTTGCTTGTGGCTGTTGCCTCTAAGTATTTTTTGTGCAAGAATTCCATTTGATTCTCGTCGAAAGTAACTTATCAATTTTGTTTCTTTTAAACACTGGAAAGTATTATATTTTTAAGTTTTGCTGCCGATTCTCGATTCTCGTTTTAAAATGAAGCTCAAACCTATGGAAAACATCATCTCTGGTTGACAAATAAGTGAAAGCAACAGTGCTAGAGAAACGTATACTTTATGTTAGCTCCCAAACTACCTATAGTTCCACCAGCTGATACATTAATATATTATATATATGATATAGTTAGCAAGTCAGTCATGTTGTTCCATCTATGTGCCTGTCTAGTCTCTTACCTCTAATGTATTCCTAACTAGGTAGCTAGTTTATATCTAAACAACGTTATTTTATCTTCGCCACACTTCGAGTTAATTTGTATTATTTTTAAGCAATAGCTTGACTTACCGTATCGGCTGCTGTCAAATTAATACCCAAGCCACCGGCGCGCGTCGAAAGTAGAAAAACAAATATATCGGCACGGGTTTGGAAATCAGCGACCATGTCGCGACGAGCTGAAATCTTGCTAGATCCATCGAGGCGCATATAACGATGTTTGCGATGCCACATATACTCCTTAAAAAAGAGAAGCAAGCATGAGCATAAATTTAAAGTATTTGCTATGTATTGGAGGCACCTCTAGTAGATCAATCATTTTGGTCATTTGTGAGTAGATGAGCACACGGTGACCCTCGGCCTTGAGGCGCGTTAGTAGACTGTCCAGCACAAACAGTTTGCCCGCATCCGTTATGAGTGTCTCCTTATCAGGGACCACAATCGACGACCAGCCGCTGCGCGGCTTGCACAGCGCCAAGCCAGTGCCCACAAGCTCTCTGCCCACGCTATTTTCGCACTGCAGGTGGCGAATATGCGTCCAGGCAGCGGCGCGACTTTCGCAACTATCAAACAGAAGTTGTCAGGCATTAGTTGAATTTACATACATTGACGTTCAAATATTGCTACTCACTATAAATGCCTATCGACGGCCTGAACACGCTGACCCAGCCCATAGAGGAATCGTGGCATCTGCAACGGTTCGCATTGATAGCGTTGCGGCTTGCGCGGACGATGCGGGAACTCGGGCAGCAAATGCAACGTAGTCATCTTGACATCGCTCTTAGTATTCGATTTCGTCTGCACCTCTACAGATTCCAGTTCCAGCTCCTGGTTTATACTCGGCTCTGCCTTCGTCTCCGATTGACTATCAGCATCAACGAGCGTCTCGATGAGTCCAGCTTTCTCCTTGAGTATCTTGGAGCGTGTCACACGATGCTCGATCGTTTCCTGCATGTTGACAGTGATATAATCCCCAAAAGCATAAACGCTGCTCTCGCGAGATGTCTGCAAATCAACAGAAGGAATCAAAAAGAAAGTCAACATATTTCTACACGTAAATGGCTGAATAGATACACATAGCTATTACATACATGCTCAATGTATACTAACTGCTGTGCTTATCGTTATCAGTTTTAAGGACTTTGCAGATATGGCATACCAAATATAAAAAAAAAATTTTTGTTGAGTATACGATACACATTTTTTATTTTTGTTGCTTTTCGCTCTATTTATCTTTCAGATTTAATCAAAAAATTTGGCAATCGATAATTATCGCTTTCAGGAAACAGTACGATCTATTAATAATTTGAAATAAACATATGTTCCAAATTTGACAATTGTTTTGTGATCTCTGAGGCGAGCATGGCAGACGGGCAGACGGACATGCTTTAATTGACAAGACTGCTGATGTTGAACAAAAATATTTATAGCTTATAAGCGGAGTACCATTTTATACACGTATTATTTCAGCGACAAAAGTCTCTGAGAGCGACGACTTTATATGTACAAGTGGAAATAGAAGCTGACGATGCTGAATCATAGGTGTCTTTTAGTTTTTACATAAGGCATACTTGATGCTCAATTCCATTATAAGCAAACACTGAATAATTTTTACAAAATTATGTTTACCATTCAACAAATACGTAAATGAAAACTTACCATTGCTGTAAAAATGAATTCCCTTAGCACACTGTTTGGAAGTAAGTAATCCGGCACAAGTTTGCTCTCCAGAACTGGTTCTAATAGTTGGTAACGTGGAGCACGTTGATATGGCCACCACTGACGACGATAGGAAAGTAGTGGTTGCCTGGCAAGCACGCGACGATAGTGCAACAAACTGCGAAATCAAATCAGTAGTAAAAAGTGGGAATAAAAAACATATTTTTACAAATTGAATGCTCACAAATCGATAAGTCCGTGCCAGGTCACATCCTCCATGTCGGACAAGGATAAGTCACACAGACGGGTAAAACCGAAGCAACTATTAACGTGCACATCATCGAATAGGGATCCTTGCATGTGCGCCGCCTTGAATATGTTGAAGCTGTAGAAGTATATTATGAAATGAAATGCAAGTCCACGATCGACAACTACTAACCGGTTATACAGGAGGTGCCTGCGACTCGGTAGAGCGCTGTGAAGCAGACCATCATTAAAGACCAAGCGCGGTAGAACAAACTCGGCGCAGCGCATGCTGAATGGACTCTTTGCATCTCGCCTTTCAAAGAGCTCCGGGTGATTGCAGACTTTGCGGAACTGCATGACAAGATTCATGAGGTTCGAGGTAAAGTTACGATCCAAAATAGAGCCATCCGCTGACGCAGAACTTGACGATCCGCCTTGGGCAACATGTAGCAGATCCTCGATGCGAATTTTTTGCTTTAGCGCCCTGTAAAGCAGCTTCTGACGTATTGTCAGCGGGCAATATACCATAATCTCAATCTTATCGGACAGTTCGTTCTCCACATCTTTCTTAATGCGCCGCAGCATAAAAGGCTTCAGTATCATGTGCAGGCGAGATATTTGACGCTCGTCTATGCCCGTCTTGTTCTCCGCATGCGATTCAATGTCCTTGGAAAACCACTCGTTAAATTCGTCATGCGAATCAAACAGCGTGGGCATTATGAAGTGCAGTAACGCCCACAGCTCAGCCATGCTATTCTGAATGGGCGTGCCACTTAGCAGCAAACGATTGCGACAATTGAAGCCTAGCAAGAGCTTCCAGCGCTGTGAGGCGGCACTCTTGATGGCTTGTGCCTCGTCCAGCACCATGTACTGCCACTTAATGCGATTAAAATACTTGTAGTCGCTGACAACCAGCTGGTACGAAGTAATCACCACGTGGAAGCTGGCCTCACGTGTGTGCAGGTGCTTTTGCTCCCAGAACTGGCGCAAAATTTTGCGCTCATTGGGTGATCCCCAGTAGGGCACCACATTGAAGTCGGGCACAAAACGTGCCATCTCCTGCTGCCAGTTATGCAGGGTCGAGGCGGGCGAGATAACCAGAAACGGGCCCCACACTCCGTAATGCTCCGCAATGTGGCATAGAAACGCAATCGATTGCACAGTCTTTCCTAGGCCCATCTCATCGGCCAGAATTCCACTGATCCCTTGGTCGTAGATATTAGCCAGCCAAGTCATGCCCTTGATTTGATAGCCTTTTAGTGTGCCCTTAAACATATTGGGTTGCGGCAGATCCTTCATTTGTTCACGCTCCAGCTGGGGCTGATGTAGCTCCTGCAGCTGTTCCATTATCTGCTCCTTCTTAAAGGGTACATCAAAGGCGCGTGTTTTGTCCAAATCGCGCTGCAACGCTGCCTCCGCATTGGCCTGCGCCAGCTGCTTCATTTCGCCTGCGTCGTAATCATCGTGGGCTGCCAGACGCGCGTTATGCTCCTCGTCCAGTTGGCTGAGTATGCGCAGCTGATCCGCCTCAGTTCCCTGGCCGAGTTTCTTGGACATAAAGTGAGCGTATAGCTCCGTTTGGGTAATTAAGAAGTTAAGTTTGCGCTGCTGGCGCTTCACCTCGATGAGCTCCACATCTTGTTTGCGTTGCTCCTCGGCCTCGCGTTCCTGTTTGCGACGCTGGTCGCGCTCTACCCGCTCATAACGCTTCCAATAGGTGAGCATTTCACGAGTAAGACGCTTGGCACGCCACACAGTTTCCTTCATGATACGCTGCGAGTTGAGTGCACGCTGGCGCACAACTTTTGCGCACATCCCAGCCACGCGCTTGCAGTTGGCCAGCATCTCTTTGTGGTTGTTGCTCTTAATGCGCTGCAGCCGGCCAGACTCCTTTTTGGACATTATTTGCCAGATGCGGCGACGGCGTGCAGCCAATACTTCGGGATTCTTGCGACGACGACGAACACGTGTCACTTGACCATCGGCCGCGCCTACTACATCCACCTCCTCTTCGATTTCTTCGTCCTCCTCTGGAAAGTCTAGAGCCAGGTTGGCCAGTTCTCGCTTGTAATCCACCTCACCGTTATCCTCATCATCCTCATCGTTGGCGGGCAGCGTGTCACCAAAACTGTATTTGCCCAGCTCCGAGGGCGGCACCTCGCCAGATTCCGGCGAGTCTAATGTCGTGCGCTTCTTGCGCCCGCGTCGTCGCTGTTTAACAGGTTTGGGCCCCGCCTGCGCCTCAGCCAAACGTGCCAAGAGTATCTCCTGCTTGGTGCGACGCCGTCGCTTGCGCACGCCAACTGTTGCCTGCTGGCGTTCAGCATAAACGTCATGATTGGACAGTAGGCCACTGCCATAATAGGCATATTGAGCGTTCTTTAATGCAAATAGTTATATATAGAGGAAATTGGCACTAAGTTCATATACATACTGTGGCCTTCTTGTAGTAGTTCTTCCGCTGGCGTTGTTCTTGCAGATGCTCGAGAAGCATTTGATTAATGTATTCATCCTCATCGCTTACCTGCTCCTCGCTCTCCGTGTCGCTAAGTATTATATCGTAGAGCCATTCCCGATCGCTGGTCAGATCATTAAAATTGTATATCTGCGTCTTGACGCTCTGTCGCTCTGTAAAGGTGAAAAATTAGAATCCACGTAAAAACATTACCTTTATACAACTACGATTACCCTCTTTGCTGCCCAGGAGACGGTTGCGGCGTTTCTTTTTTAATTTCATCCTTACCACGCCCACCCTAGTGGAGGAGTCGTCAGAATCAATGCAGGCCTCCTGGCTACACTCAACCTCGGTAGCAGTATCTTCACCGCTTTCACTGCTCAATGGCTGCTTGAGTGCCTGGCGAGCCATCTCCATAAACGGACGCATATTTAATGCTGCCTCGAGTCTCTGTATGTGCAACGGTTCGGCCATGAGGCGTGGCTTTAATTCTGTAGCTTTCGCCATGTTTCGTACGATTTATTTGCTTTGCGTAATCTTTTTTTTTTGCAAACTTTAGATGGCAGGCTTTCGACTTCCAGATGCAAATTTCCGTTAGCTTGGCGCTGCACTGGATGCTTCAAAATGAGATTCGAATGATTTCCAATTAAAAAGTATCACATAATAGAGAAAATTGCGCACGCGTTGCGTAAAAAATGCACGGCTGACCGTATGTTGCGGTACACACTTTTTTACTTGCCCACACGCTGCACACAAGCACATTTAGACGACCAAACAAATAATATTCTTCTCGACTCTTGTAGTTCATTGTTGTTGCTGCAGGGTTGCGTGCAGGGTTGCATGCGCTGTGGATACAGTGCTGGACAATCCATTTAAATAAAACGAGTACTATGTCACGGAGTGAATAATTCGATATATGTTAGGTTTATGTAAATCATGTATTTAATTCTAATTTTTAATAATATATTTTATTGAACTCATAGTTACAATTGTGTACTTAATCGGTAAGCAAACCAAAGCGCGTCTGACGCACGCATCATTGTGCTCACATATGCGCTTTGCACCACTGACAGCACCACATCTGGACATTTATCAACACTGCAGAAACCGGGACAGCCAAGCAAATCAGCTGTGAAAATGTATTGGCAAACCGGGCTTATCAAATCCTTATTAGATCCTATTAATTTAATTATAACAACAGACATAGCTGTTGTCATAGCCGATAAATACCCAAAGGCACGCCATCACTACCTCGTTCTGCCCAAGGAGGATATTGCTAGTATTTTTCAGGTAATAGTAAGGCGTACACAAATTTATTTAAAAACACATTTTGATTTACAATGTTTAGTTAAGCAAGAAACATTTGCCATTGCTGGAGGAGCTGCATCTGCTGGCCCACAATATCATTGAAATACGCGGCGAAAATTTTGAGAGTTTTCAAATTGGTTTCCATGCACAGCCGAGCATGCAACGGTTGCATTTGCACGTCATTTCAAAGGATTTTGTCTCAAGTTGCTTAAAGACAAAAAAACACTGGAATAGCTTTAATACGTCGCTCTTTATACCATACGAAAGTAAGTTGGCGAAACACCAAAATGACTTTAAATAAGAGTGTTTATTGCTTCTGTAATTGCAGCACTCTATGCACAGCTAAGCAACGAAGGCCACATACAATGTTTGCCCAAAGATATAGTTGACGATCTGCTTGCAAGGCCCTTAACGTGCAATCAGTGTACGTTTGTTGCCAAAAACATGCCATTGCTCAAGGAACACTTACAGGAGCACTGAAGACTGTAAACAAATAGATTGCAATAATAGACCGTGTCCATATCTGCGCAAGCATTTTCTTAAATGCGTGTGTGTGTGTTGTGTTCGTGTGTGAAAACCAGCTGTGAGGTTTATTCAACACTGTTGTCCAGTATTTTCAATCATTTTAGGTGCCGATTCCAATTGTTTCATTACTTTTAAATACTAATTTCTGCCATTGTACACATATATATATGTTCGTGTGCATAAATGTGTGTAAGCTTATATAGACCATTTTTTAGTTTTCGGTGAATTCCTAAAATTAGATGATTCCAAATGGGAAAACCAAACGAAGTTTATAGAAACAACTTGACATACCAGATGCAACAAGGCAAGGGACAACTAATAGAAACTGATCTAGCGTTGGTAATGAAGGATGCTTATCCAAAGGCGCAATATCATTTTCTGGTTGTCCCCAAGGAAGATATACCGAATGTTTGTGCTGTAAGTCTGTGAATATATTAATCTGTTGCTATGATAATATTTTTAGCGCTATTTAGCTGACCCGGGAGCACTTGCCGCTCCTGGATCATATGATGGATCTGGCCACTCAGATAATTGAACAGCAGAAATACGTGCCCTCCAGCTACTTTCTAATTGGATTCAAAATTGACGCATTCATGAACCGAATCGCTATGCATGTCATATCAAATGATTTCTACTCGGAGTCTATGCGACGCGTGAAGCATTGGAACAGCTTCAACACTGACGTGTTCCTCACTTACCAGGCTGTTTACGCCCTGCTCCGTGTACAGGGCTCCATTGAGCCAATGTCTGCTGAAAAGACTGAGGCATTACGCAACACTAAGCTATTACGCTGCAATCAATGCGATTTTGAAAGCGAGAGTTTGGTAGCATTAAAATGCCACTTGTTTGAGCATTGGAAGAAGCGAGAAGTTGAACTCAAAATAAAACAGCAAGTGGAAAACGTAACTCGCTTGCTAGACGAAGCTAAATTGGAGGTGAACCCCAAGCAAGAGCTAGTTGATGCTCCTCAAGCCATAAACGAGTCAACGTCGCAGATAACTAAGGAGAGTCAAAATGCTGGACTGCAGCCAAGCTATTCGAGAAGTGCTACAAACTCGAAACCAGACAGGCAAATAGAAAACTGGCGCAAAAACATGGGACAGCAACCGACTGATCTACAGCAACCGGCCCCAAATTCAAATACCTATCAGAATACACATTATAAGAAAGGTGGAGGTGGCCCGTATCACCCGCAGCAGGGTTACGTAAACTTCATTCCTGGCCAGAATGCAAATTCCAATTATCAACCGCCCGAATTTAGACAATTCAATCAGCAGGCTGCAAATGGGCCACGGCCGAACTCCAGCCCGCGTATAAATTTTCCGAATTCCGGATCTAATCTACAACAAGCCAATGCCAATTTAAATTTTAACAGGCATCCCAATGGGCAGGACCCTCGATTTAATATGTATAGACCAAATTTTTCCAAGGTTAATTCCAACAATTTCGTACCACCTAATGGGCAACATCACCAGACTCGACCCCGATTCAATACGGTTAAGCAGTCAACAAGTATGGAACAAGGTAGTTCTGCACCTCGACATAACCAGACACAAAACAGCTTTGGATCTGGCCCAAGTAATCACACATCTAACGCCATGCAAGTCCGACCCAAATTCAATCCAAAACCTCAACATAACCAAGCCCAAAACACGGAAACCTTGAATATTCAACAAAATCAAGCAATGTTGAATAAGCCTAATGCAAAGCCCGAGTCTCAGCAAAGTATGGGTCCGATACATCCATCTGTTAATATTTGCAACCCTATTTCTGAAGATCAAGGCAATCAGCGCAAAGGCAAAGGAAACCCATTTAAGAAAAAATTTGTTAAGAAACAAAACGAAAATCCTCAAAAGTCATAAGGATTGCAAGCATCCAGTGATACTACAAACTTTCTGGATATGTTAGCTCTCATCTATTACAGTATACATATATGTGTATATGTATACATAAAATCTTGCTATAAATATAACAGTATATTACCGATTTTGCGGAAACCTATATTTTCTGACAATGTCTATCAAAATGGATTTATAACATTTTTTTTTTAGGCAAGATTTTATTTATATTACTTTTTGACAATTTTGCGTTATTTTTCTGTTTAATTTAAATTTATCATTCAATATCCTTGCCATACTATTGAATTCTGTGAATTGTGAGCTTAATGAACAATGAAGATTTAAATAAAATGTTAAATTTACTTTTTAAAATATGGTTTTTTACTCGATTTACACTATAATTACGTTTTAACATAGAATTTTAAATGGCAAAGACCACGCATTATCATAAGAATTAAATGCTTTTATATAAAGTATTTGCTTTTAGTTCCGGTACGGCAATGAGTACATTTAGATAAAAGTAGGGTAGTCCATTAATAGTAGGGTAGTCCACTAAATAGAGTGCCTAACTGACGTTTTAAACATTTAAAGTCCCTTTTATGCAAACATATCTTCACTCTGCTCAAAGTTGCTAGATAAAAGTAACAACATATCAGATAATTATTAAACCAAATATATATATATTAAAAAAATATATAAATATGTGTACATATATACATACATATGTATGTATTTACACATAAGCAGGTACATACAAACACGTACGCCGCTTGCTGCGGCTGTTTAGTCCAGTGTTGCCAATGCACCAATCGTAATGCTAATGCAGATCGTAAGCTGGTAAGTTTTTAGCTGTACACTTTTAACTGATTTAACTATATTTGGGTAACTCATGGACATACTGATGGGCATAGCTAGATCGAATCAGCTGGTAATGCCGATCAAGAATATATATACTCCATGGGATTGGCCTGTTCTATACACAAAAATTATACGCCTTTACCCATTTTGAATGAGTTCAGGGTAAGCATGGAAACTGTAAAGCCACGTCAGCAAATTCGTCTAAATTGCTTTTTGTTTAAATATATGTATATACATACATATGTATGTATATATATGTTTGAGTATAGTGACGTCAACTGGATTCCTATTTCAACAAATCGCAATTGTATTTGTGACGCAGAAAAGCGAACCAATTGGAATCTTGTTGGTTTTGTTACTCGTTCGCACAGTTTCACAACACTGTTTAGTCGCATTCACAAACAGTTGAGTGTGCCAATTCTAAGTGTTCAGTTCCATAACTCGATTTGCTGCTGTTTTCTGTAATACATTTTGTCTGCGATGCAGGAGGACGAGAATGACGTGGAATTTCAACGTGGTGAACTCACCCGGAAAATGGAAGCTGGGAAGGACGTTGTTATTCAGACCGATCGGGCAGCGGTGCTGCGTAATGTGGATTGCCCGAAAGCGGAATATCATTTTGTTGTTTTGCCCAAAGAGGACATAGCAAATGTGACTGCGGTAAGTGAATGTAGATGAGATACCTGTTGTACTTTATATATACATTTAAATTGCAGCTAAAACGGGAGCACCTGGCCCTTCTGGATCACATGATGGATCTAGCTAACGAAATCATTGAGCAGCAGCCTCTGCCCTCCAGCAATTTTCGGGTCGGCTTCAAAATTGACGCGTTTATGAATCGCTTAAATATGCATGTTATTTCGGATGACTTCTATTCAAGCTTCATGCGTCGCATTCAGCACTGGAACACGTTTAACACAGATTTGTTTATAACTTTTCAAGCTGTATACGCACTTCTGCGCGTCAACGGATCTGTTGAACCCATGCCCGCCGATAAGGCGGAAGAATTGCGTATGGCCACGCCTATTCATTGCAACCAGTGCAGTTTTATTACTGATAATTTTAGCAAATTCAAGATTCATTTATATGACCATTGGAGAAAACGACAAAATGATCGTCTAAGCAGAATGGGCGTGGCAAATTTGTCGCAATCAATTGGACAAATGCATTTGAATGCCAACAGCAACATTTGTGGATATGCACCACCAATGCGCAACCCATTTAATGGAACTGGTGATGCTATGGGGGGATGGACTGATTTCTTTATAAAAAACTTTCCAGGAACATTTGGACAACAACATCGACCAAATATGATTATCCACAGACCATATCATATGAATAATAATGCACCGTCATCATCTCAGGCAAACCTTAATCAGATGCATTTCAGGTTCCCTAACCCAGGAGTACACAAAAATCGTCTCGACTACAGGCAGGTTGTTAAATCTAAGCAAGCTGCTGAGCAGACGAAGGCAAATCTGTCTGTCAACACAGCTAATAAGTCGAATGGTAATGCTACATCAAACATATGCCCCAACAAAAATATCGGATATATTCCGCATTATGTTTCGGAGCACTCACAACATAATCCAATCGATGGAAAGCCGTTCATCAAAAAGAAATGGAATAACAAGCCGAAGAAAAAGAACCAATGCCCGCCAGATTCCCAGACATCCAGGGGTAAGGATACCGCACCTGGCGAGGCCTAACTTGTTTGAGATGATTCTTTTGCAGAAAATATTCGACTGCTGTTCAGAGCGTCCTTAATATTATCCAAATACATATACAATATTTCAATTACTATGAATATTACATGTTTATGTTATACAAGACATATTCATGCATGTAAAAAAAAACGACTTACAAAATTGTATTAAATTAATCGAAATTAAGCGATTCTTACCCCAACAGGTCTTATTCAAAACATTATTAATATCTGATAGGGCGATAAGCATATTTATCAAATTTGATTTTATGTAAAATTAGACGCCATAAAGCGAAAAATATGTTTATGTTTGTATAATCTTCAATTTAGTGCCAATAATTTTTTGATACTGATAAGCAGAATATAGCAATGTTTTTGGAGAGAAATGAAAATTCATTTAAATCCATATCAAGGATTCCAAATTAGGGAATCTATACTTATATTCGCTCATAATTTGTAAGCTCTGCACCCATTGAAAATTTGTGAAAAGAGTATAATGTGAATGGGTACAATGAATGGTTATGAAAGAGGGAGAAAGATACATATCCGACCTCATAGAGTATACATATTCTTGGTCAGCATCAAAACTCGAGTCGATCTAGCCATGTCCGTCTGTCTGTCCGTATGTGTGAACGCGTCGATCTCGAGGCCCATGAGAGGTAGAGACTTGAAATGTTAATCGTAACTCCTAGATTTTGAGCATATCATTAAGGTATTAAGAGCTAGAGGTCACGAGGTAACTTCTAGTATAATATACACAGATTATATTTAAATCCCGCGCCTTATCTATATCCAATTGGGACCAAACGAAAACAAGCTGTTGTGGTAGATATATAGCAGAATAAGATTTAGTCCAGAGTCACGAGGCAGCAAGAACAAAGCGCAGAATTTCTGCACACGTGTCTTTTTGTCTTTATCGAATTCTATAAAATAAAATTGCACTTGTATTGTATGCTGTGCTGTGTGTGCTGCTATTTTAGTTCAGTTTTTTTTATTCCATATTGATCCAATACTCAATATGGCTGTGGGTGCGAGCTCGACGTCAGCAGAGTGATATATTATCTTAATATCTCTTTACCAATTAAATATGTAGGTAAGCAAGTGTAAAGTTTGAGCTATCGAGCGTGTAGCTTCCATCTTGCTTTGGTAGATATAGGTTCAGGGTATCCCCTAGTCGGGCACTTTCGACTAAGGAACTCATCTTCTCGACATAATTAAAACAATTTTTCAATATCTTGTTAATTTTTTGATAAGTGTAAAGTAAAACATAGAACTGCCTTTTGCTTAAATTTAAATAAAATTATTTGGTCGAGTGCTGGAAAACGATAGTTTGAATTTCGCAAGCATCACTGTCAACCCATCGGTACAGCATTGCCAACACAGAAGCAGAATTTCAAAGTATTGTGGCATAAATGTACATAATTTTGAAATATACCTACTATATTACCTGAAGAAGAAGAATAATATTACACTATTAATAATTACAACTGTTTCAGACACAATATTAAGAAAACATGAGAGTCTACTTTATAATTTTATTTTTTGGGCTTAAGCTCATCTGCCATACATATACCCATCAAGTGCGAATTGGCAATTAATGTATCTGAGTAAGTTAATGTGTATATCATTAAAATTTGTTTCATTTGCTACTATAAATTTTCCATGTCAAAAGCCTATAACTTGTCATCTTTCTCTCCATAGGTATAGCGGGCAGGCTGGATAAAGAAATATGGTTGGATTATACCGTTCTTAATAAGCAGGGTAAAAACTAAATACAGAAGGTAGATGCCCATGGAGAATATGCCAACCGAGCGGCGAGCATTATAATTTAATACCGCTGTCCACAGCAGCGTTGAAAAGAGCCCGAGAATCAGCAAGACGAACGCATTCTCACCATACTTTCCGTGCATTTTCTCAGCTGTGACAGAGCCGCCGGTTAATATCTTGGCTGCTAGCGCAGCGCCAGTGCCAAGGAGTACACTAAAGAATGGACTGCCAATGGTTGCAGCATACGCCATTTTTTCATACCCAAGCATAGCCATTGAAGTATTGGTTACCAGATTGCCGAGGGCGCTGGCAATGGCTTTTACAGTGGCACCCATGAAGTCGGATTCAACGTTTAATATGCGGCCACACACGTCCATTATCAGGGTTATTTCAGAGGCACACTGGAATGTCAGAAACATGGATCCAGTCAGATTCATGATCGTATACAGCCAATGATATGCTGGCGGGGCAGCGGTCCTCGAGTGACAGAACACGAATATGGAAATGGGCACCGTTACAGCAAAGGAGTAAAAGCCGTATATGGAAGCATCAGGTATATTTGAATACCAGAGCCTCGAACTTTCTCTGAATATTAGTGCCTTGCCCATTGTGATTGTGATCGCCGGATTAATGATAATATGTAAGCAATTGAGCAGCTTACTCCAGCCATTCAAATCCTTCTCATAATCCACCAAGGGTATATAAATCGCACATATTATTACAACTGGAGCCCTGGTAATATAAAAGGTACGCATGAGCATGTTGGCTTTACGCCAATCAGCTAAATCAACGGGCCGGAGTGCGTAGAAGAAGTCTTTGAAGAGATTTTGGTTTCTTCTCTGGAATACATTATATACAATGCTGCGATTGGCCCTCATGTCAATCCTTCGCCGCTTGGTAGGACGCTTAGTCATGTAGGTGAAACTTGATTCGCTACTCATTGAGGTTGTCTTACGCTTAAGTATATCCACTCGCTTGTCGAGTTTGATCAAGTTGTATTTCTTTTCAAGGGCCATGCGCTGCTGTTTAACATCTTGTGTTTGTTCTAAACTGTCCAGAGCGTCTATTTGGGCTCTCAAGGCTGAGAAAACGATATGTGAGTTAACCAAATACAGAAAGAACTCGTTAAATGCGCTACTCACATCCAATGGCAACATGCATGAGATACACATCAAGGACGGTGACCACCAAATAAACGATGTAGATTAGCATTAATATGAAGCACTCTGTAATCGAAACCCTATCGCCAGTGTATATCATATATTCCAAAAGCGTCACGCCTAATATCAAGAAAAGCAAGTCTCGGACGATGCTGTACGAGCTCATTTTAAACGGACACAGATAGCAGATCCATCCTCCCACAAACATGACCACAAACAATGCCGCCGAGAGGCAATTGGCAAATACGGGCACATTATCCCTGCGAGACGTCAAGTTAGTTAACAATTCTGGACTTGTGTTGCCAAATGCCAATATCGTCACGCCAGCCAGATGCTCGTTCATGTGAAGCATTCGCGAAACGACCTTCAACGCTGGACTGTAGTAATAATGGACCGCATAGGCGAGGCAGATCAGCAACTCGAAACAGAAAAAGAAGAAGACGGACACGAAGACTAGCTCCTGAAATTGGTTTTTGCATTTGAAACCACAGGCTAATAAATGCATGTATGGCACGAAGTTCGTTCCATATACGCATTTATTGGCTTTCTTGACAAATTCGCATCTCTCTTCATACGGAAAATTCAGCACAACAAAACAATTGACATTTGACCAAAACATATCGAACTCTTTGTCCAAGGAAGTTCGTGTTTTGTTTACTTCCATGCTATCCAATTTAAAACTACCTACGGTGTATAGTATTTGTATTTGTTTAATTATGTGCTTATATCTAATATAATTTCCTGCTGATTGTATTTGACTTGAAAATCATACAACTAAATTTGTAGCTTAGAATGTTGATGTCAATATATGTTTTCGGCATTATTTCAAAATTATCTACATATGGTGGTTATATTATTAGACTAGAAAAAAATACATTTCAAGACTCGATTCAATGTCTTAATAAGCGATTTTAATGCCCCATTGGTTGTTAAAAAAAATGTTAACGAGAAAGAATGACTGCTTCAGCACCCCGAAGATTTAATAGCCTTGCATACATTTCCATACAACTTAATTTTCGACCGATCGTTCCTATGGCAGCTATATGATATAGTGGTCCGATGTTGATAGGATTTTGCATATATATGGGGAGCATAGTAATATTAGATATTATATTATTATTAGATAAACAAAAAAGTTTTATATACAAGAACTTACTTTTCGACCGATTGTTCCTATGGCAGCTATATGATATAGTAGTCCGATCCGGCTGGTTCCAACATATGTACTGCGTGTAACAGAAAGACCGAAGAATGCTAAGTTTCATGACGATAGCTTTAAAATAATACCCTTTGCAAGGGTATGAAAAGAGTGCGCCAATATAATTTTATTTTTAATATTATGTAATTATGAAATGGCTTTGGGCCAATTCAAATCTTAGGAAACGTAAACGGTACGTGGTCGCTCAATTTAAAGTTCACTTTCTAAGCAGTTTAAATCAGGAAAATTATTGGCCCACGGCTAATTAAGCGCACCAAGGGCAACCGAGGCAGCACCCAGGTGAAGCACAAACGGGGGTTGATAAAATATAAATTATAATCCCTGTTAGTGGGCAAAGTTTTCCGATCGTCCTGCTCCTGCGAGAGTTAAGCGTCAACGGTCTCCAGTCAGGCAGTTCAAACTGTTTTCTCTTCCAGTGGGAGACCCTTCGCTTCTTGAGCTCTTTAAGGCATTTGATGATAAGGATTTGAAGCGATTAGCCAGCAAGCTAAATAACTGCATTTACTTAGCTCAACTAACGCGAAAAACGCGTGTGTGGCGGAAAAGCCTCCACGAAAATACTTAACACTGATGCTAAAACACATGAGCCAAGTTTTAACGATTTTAAAGATAAAAGAACCATGTTACAGAGCTAACTAGTCGAAAGGCTACGGACAGACGGAAGGACAGACGAAGTCGAAGGTCGAATACTGTGTGTGATATAAATAAACACCAATATAATATACCACATTGTTGCCATTTTCATAAGGTACAAGGTATAAATAGTTGCAGTTACGATTTCTTTTTAATCTAAAATAACAAATGACAAACAGAAATTAAAAATTATTAATTAATTCTCAGTATAGTCGTTATGAAAGTCTTGCTTCACACTAATCAACTAAGCACTCGGGTGCAATTATTTCAAGGACACTTGACTTAATTCATCAGTTTGCCGGCAATTTGTTTGCCACCTTCGCTCATGCAATTAAGTTTTAATATTACAAACTTGAGCGCTGTATAGACTAATCCACTTGACGCTGTAATGAAGTAAATTTTTAGCCCTGGCTGCTAAACTCCGAGGCAAAAATGACAGCTCTGGCCAAATTGAGAGATATGTGTGCGTTTAACAAGATTCAAGGTAACAACCCTGAGACAAGGCTGTGGCAACTCTAAAGCACACATTTTTGTTGTTGTTGCTGTTGTCATTGTAATGTGAACTTGACGCCAACACCTGCAAATGTGTTTGTGTGTCACAGTGTCAAGGTGTCCGCAGAAAGCGTTTCAATGTTTCTCTCAAACACGTCAGTTTCCGCTCATTTTCGGGGGTGGCTGCCATTGTTAAAGCAAGCTCCAAGCTGGTTCCATTTACCATCTGGCCATCGGCTACGCCATCAAAGCTGCCTCCTAGCCCATTGAGCGCTGTCGAAGCCTTGCCACCTGTTACGAGTTGGCTCTAGCAACAGGATGCCATTCATAATGGACGCTACTTTTGAGCCAAAAAGCGCCAGCTTGCGCTGAGAGCGAGACCTGCGCCGTGCGCATGCTCCAGAGTAGCAAAAGTTTCTACCATTCGAAATGAGAAACTCTTTTAACTGGCAATACGTGGGCTTTCGAGGGTTTCAAGCACTGTGCCAACGATCAATTGCCCCCTCGCCTCCTGTTTCATAAAAATAGATAAAAAAACATTTCCCCTTCTCTCTTAGCCCCCCACTTGGGCGTTTAAAGCCTGATCTGCCTGAAATATTATAAATATCGCATCCAAATGAAATATTCTGCATCCGTACTATAGGAGAGCCTAAATACCATATTTGATTTCTCTAGCTCTTCTAAGCGCCTAGATAGCTAAAAACCGGATTTCAATATCGATTCTTATCGATTTCATGGCAACGTCGCAAGTTATCGATGACTGACAATAAACTTTATCAGCGCGGGAAGTAGGAGTTCAAATTTTCAAGCATTGGGCTCTTACAGTCTAATATCGACGCGATAACTCGGGCAAACGGACTTGACTCAATCGACCCAGATATTGATCGGGAGTCTCCGAGACTTGCTGCAAAAGCCAGAGGTATGAGCACTGACAGAACTATTAGGATGTATACTTTGATGATGGATAGTTTGCTATTTTGCGAATAGTTTGCTACCTAACAAAAAATCGGTCTTGCAGGTTACTATTACAGATAAGATTGAATTAAGAGCAAATATTTAAAAATTGTTAAGTCTTTAACCTCGTTTATATAACACTGATGAGTTCGAATGGTTACATTTTTACATCACGTTGACTAGTACAGTAGTTACATCATGGATGAAAACTTTAGGGATTTATTATTGAAACTCTAGCATTTTGAGGCTGATAATTGTTTTGACTGGAAAACTTTAGGTGAATCTCCTTAACGTTTAAATAAATTCTAGCTGATGACTATTTCGTATGGTTTAAACCACGTAAACCTTAAGATTGCCATTAAAAGTTTAGTTAATATTTATTTGAATTGGAATAGAATATTGCACTAAGGCCAAAGCTGATGTAGGCTGGTTGTCGTTTAATGGAACCATCTAAAAAAACTTAACTAAATTGTCAGATGTCCTGGTGAAGTACAGTGAACTTCATATAAATAGTTCGCAAACAATAGAAACAATATTTCTCCTATAAAGAATATGCAACCAACATACAAAAAATACAATTTTGTTTATTTCCCATTTAATTATTACTGTAAGATAAAGTTAGCCGGAGTTAATCGAATTTTTGATCGGCATATCCATCTATATGGTAAATATATCTCTTGACAAGTCATAGCTTAATCATTTTTAAATTTCTCATATATGTAATCATTGTTTCGCATTGTTTAATTTCCTAACCGCTTCGCTTGCCAATCAAAATGTTGATAATTGATTTTATGAGCAATTAATTTGCAAAAGCAATCATTTGCATAGCCCACAGCATCTTGTCAACGGCTTTAAGATAATTCCGTCTAAGATTTACTTTAAACTTAGCCTCGAAGCATTTCCCATTACTTTTGTATGTATGGTGTGTGTTTTTTCTCGTGTGCATGTGATTTTGTTTAAAATCAAAGTTGTTATATGTTTATGTATCCTTATAAATACGAAATATGTGCTTCAGCCGTGCTTATTTTGTATCTCTTAGCCTCTTAGCCTCAGACTATTTTTAAATAACTTAAGCACACTTATAATTCGATTCTTTGACGATGGAATCAATTTGAATTAAATAATATCAAAAAAGCGCAAAAATACAGCTCTGAAAATTGAAATTAATGACATTTGCTTTATTCCATTAAATGGCTAGAGCAGGGTTCATTGTCAAACTCATAAAAAGTGTATCCACTTTATGAATACAGATATGCTTTTTACTCTGGCAATAGGTGCAGGGTAAATGTTATGGTATGAGCGTCCATTTTTTCGTAAAAAACTCGAAACAGACGTGATCAAATTTGAAACGAGTTTGAAAGAAGATTTCCTCAGATTAAAAATAGTTACTGCGATTGACAAAATAATACCAGTTTGTTTGCATATACTTTGTGTCGTCGAAGTTGTTTGTTTCTGCATTTGAGTCCAATACTTGAGAAATATTTTATAGCCTAAGGAGGAACATCTTCTTAATCCATTGAGCGGGCTGCAGATGTGGCCTATGGAAAAGGAACTGTTATGCAGATGTATTTTAAAAATAAATGCGCCAGACACAGCCCAGGTTATCGGCGTACGTTGAATATGTCTCTCCCCAACCATTTAACAAAAACAGAAGCTGAAATAACAACAGTGAGAGTCGTCGAGGCTTAACATGAACTGTGCGATTTAAGCAATTTGCAATTTTCGCACAAGAAAAACATCGGAAACGGCAATGGGCATGGCAACGTGCTCCAATGATAATAACTTTTCATAGCGTCCCATTGCCATTAAGCGCCCCGCAGCGCCGGGTGGAGTCATATGCATATGGCATACAGGCCCAATTCGCACTCACTGTATGCGATGAAGCTACTTTGGCTTTAATAATTTAACACAACCATCCATTTTAAACGCAATCCTTTCGCAATGTACTATAACACCGATTGCCTCCAGTATGCCTGATACAATGCTTTCGCCTTTCCGCGCGGAAAGCTATTTATTTCTGTTCGCCTTGTTTGATTTCTTCCCTAGTCTTCTTTTTCGTATTTCCTTGTACGGCAGTGTAGTGAAAATGCTTTATGTAGTGTCTGTCCTGGTTAGCGGTATTGTTTCCGCAATGCATTGACATTGCGTATACGCCGGGCTGGCATGAAACGGATTTAAGCCCGTGACATTTTCCTGGCATAAACTGCATAAGCCTTGCCCGGCTTGAGCGGTAAATGTCACTGCTTATATTTTCATTTTGCAAAGGCAAAATATAATGCGCTGAAAGTGGTGAGCATTAAAACGTTGTAAGATAGATTGAAAAAATTATCAAAACAAACTGTTTCCTTGTGGAACAGAGTGGTTTGGATTACAAAGATCTTTTAAAATGATTTTGTTGTTGATGGCATGAAGAACAAAAACTTGCAAGTAATCTTTCTGGGAGTCAGTTGGAAAATTCAGTTTTA